ATTACTTATAGCAGCAATTTGATTTTTGAAGTAGATTGGGGGATATACATGATTTTTTGTAATTCCACTTTACTTTACCATGGAAATATATATTTATTCAAGGCAGTAAGTGTAGGATCTTTTAGCTAAACGATGTACATATGACTAAACTCACCATTTCTTGGTCAAATTTAACTAGCCTAGCTTTAAATTAGTTTCCTAAGCCTATCTTTTAAGTAAATTAAGTTTTTAAATATATCCCTCTAAGAAATACCGGTCGGAAGCTCTAATGTTGTGGACAGCGGACTTAGTGAGTATGATAGTAAGGTCGAGGATATCCAAGGATATCCATGCGGATATCCGCGATATATCCTCAATTATCCTCACTGGTGATTAGTAATAGCCAATCATCGTCATTAAAAGTAAGAGATATGTCGAAAACGCACCCCGCAACTTACGAGTTGCAGCTTATTGCCATAACCCTGATATTTTCAGCTCGTCCTATATGTACGTTTCTCCCTTTCTTTCTCTTGTATAGTGATCAAGTACAATATGTCTTACTCACAGGCATCTCAGTCCCAATTTTCCTTCTGCGCCGATTCAGATCTAGGTCTGAATACCGACCTCCTTTATTCAGATGATATTTCTGAGCTCATTGGCAGTCAGGCTTCATTGACATCCACGTCCCGAATTTCATTTCCGATTGCGCCCCTCTCGCTTACGCGTGTTGGCCTCCCTCTTCAACAGTACTGGGTCCTCTATTCCTCCGAGCCTGGTAGCGAGATGGATGGATCTCGTAAGCGCTTTATAACGTGGCGGCTAAATACAGAGTCTGGATCAGCGCCCGAAATACAAGACTCGATCCGTTGGGATGGGAAAAAGACATCAAGTGTCTGGGATAATTTCAATCAGGTTGCACATGAGAAGACTGGCAAGCCAAAGGTTATGTGTACATCATGTCTCTGTACCCTTGTTCATCCAAGCTATCGCCGTGCTGGGTCATCGCCAATGAATGCACATATTAAGGCAGGCACTTGTACTCGGAAGCCAGTTACCCAGAGGATCGATCAGCTACTCAAACATATGGTATATTTCTCTTTCATCAAGACCCCTAATATCTCTCTTGCTAATCTTAATAACTATCCCAAAGCCAACTATCCCTAGACACCAACCCTTCTCCCAGGAGCGTCTGGTGAAAGCGATACTAGACTTCATTTCTACAGCTCACCTACCCTTCCGAATCGTTGAACACACCCAATTCAAAGATCTAGTAGAGATTATTCAACAAGCCCACAGCAAGATCGATATACCATCCGCGCGAAGCATACGACGTTATCTTGAATCTGCAGTCAGAAGTGACCAGAAGGGGGTTCTGAAAAGGCTTCCAGATGGGAGTCGCCTCTCACTAGCGCTTGATTGCTGGACATCGCCATTTCAGCAAGCTTTCATGGCCATCACAGGTTACTTCCTTGATCAGGACTGGAATTACTGTGAAGTTCTTCTTGGGTTTGAGCATCTTCATGGATCTCATACTGGTGAAAATCTGAGCAAGACCGTAATCCAGCTTCTAACTGATCATGGAATCACTGATCGTGTGTTATCTGTGACAACAGATAATGCAACGAATAACAATACCTTGATGATGAACATCCAAGAGACTATCCAGTCGCAAAGCCAATCAGATACCTTGATTTTCCGAGTTCCATGTATTGCGCATGTGATTCAATTAAGCTTGAATGAGCTTCTTGGGAAGCTAAAGGTGACACCACCTAACAAAGAGATTGAACTAGAGTGGTCTGATGAGCGGACCCATTCATTTCAGACCAAAAGATCTAGCTCAACTCGGCAAATTGCAGATACCTTAAAGAAGGCAAGTTCTATCTCCCTAAGGCTTGTAGTTTATTCTGATAAAAGAGTTTTAGATCCGAGGTCTTGCGGTCTTCATCAATGCAAGCCCACAACGCCGGGAGGCATTTATGGCTCTACAAACTAAGGAGCCTCGTTTAGTTCCTGTTCAAGATGTCCAAACCCGATGGAACTCGACCTTTATCATGCTGAATCGGGCCAAAAGGCTACAACCATTCTATGATCAGTATTGTATAGACCATCAGTATCTTCACTTCAAACTTGATCAAGAAGAGTGGCGACAGATTGAATACCTTCTTCTTCTCACAAAGCCTTTCTTCGACTTCACAAATATGTTGTCTAAGACTAAGGATGTTACTACACATAACATCTATAGTATTTACAACAAGCTTTTCTCTCATCTTGATGAAGCTGAGAGTAAGTTGAAGAATAAAGGTGTTGTCTGGAAGAAGCACATGCTCGAAGCTCTTCAGACTGCTAAACGGAAGCTCTCAAAGTACTACACTGCGACCGATTATGAATCATATGGTGATGTCTATGCACTCGCGACAATCCTTTGCCCATCAAAAAAACTTCGATATTTTGCATCATCAGACTGGCAAGGTGAAATTAACTATGTTGATCACTATCATGGAGTTCTTAAGCGAGAGTTTGATCGATATAAAGAGACACTTCACCATGATTCAAACAATACAGTCTTACAAGATACCACTAAAGAGGCCCTGGATGATGATTATGGTGATCTTGATGCTGCTTGTGCTTCTCAGAGCCAGCCACAGCATAGGCTCTCAAAGCCCGAAGATGATGAGATTGCGAGGTATCTTGCCCGCGGGATCGAGGGTCAGAAGCCTAGAGCATTCTGGAAAGACCATGAGCATGAGTTTCCTATTCTTGCGAGGATAGCACGGGATAATCTCTCAATCCCAGCTAGTGGCGCAGGCGTTGAGCGATTATTTAATTGCGCTCGCGATATGTGCCACTATCGTCGCGGGCAATTGAAACCAAGTACCATCCGAGGACTGATGCTTCATCAATTCGCCACTAACTTTGACGTTGAGCAGAAGGAGATAGAGGTTATCAAGGAGTATCTATCCATTGGAGAAGCTGCGTTGTTAGATCAAGCTTGGAAACCAATGCCCCAGCTTGAAACACTTGAGCCAATTAGTGATAACGAAGAGGAGGATCAAGAGCCTAGCATAGAGGATACACAACAGATAGAGAGCTGCGATGATGATTTGGGTAGTGGGAAGAATAATGATCAAAGTAAGCAACTGCAGCGCAAACGATCAAAGAAACGATCATCCGAATGATTTGATGACGATGACGATGACCTTCCAGAAATGCCAATAGATGAGGGCATGCAGGGACGGTCGGGGCGAATTCGGAAGCAACCTAGGTTACCTGATGGATTTCAGATTGATTTAAGGTAGTTAGTATTAAGTATTGATTAGAAATGACAGAATCATGTTTACCAGATTGAAATCTTTAAAATGATGATTACACGAAGATTACTTCAAAAATACACAAGAAACCGCATAATTTATACACGCTCAAAAAAGTCACGAGGCTAGGCGTGTTTGGCTGGTTTGATATCCATTGGATATCCTCAAATATCCAGAGGATATTAGGTGGTATACCATATCCGCAAAATTGAGGATTGCGGATATTACGTGACATACCATATCCGCAATTTGCGGAGAGGATATGCGGATGTCCGTGGATATTGAGGATGTTGCCGCAGTCTAGAAATACGTAATTTTATAGCTTTAAAACGCATAAATTATGTACATGCCCAGACTTGGTATGTTTATAATGTTTTGACCTTTTTGGGGCCCCATTAGGGCCCCATATATTGGGTTAGGTCCGAGGGCTAGACCCAAAACCTAACCCAAAGTGCGGTTGGGTAGGGTTGGGTTTGGGGTCTATTGGGTTTTATAGAAGCCTAGATAAGAAGGGCGGCGGAGATACCCAGAAATATGTCGATAAGTGATTTGACCTTAGGGGGAGGCTCACGGTTTTCTTCGAGATTATCGTTATCTTATAGGTCCATATAAGGTCTTCTGCGGCGTAGATCGGTCTCTGCTACATCTAATTCAAGGCGTCTAGCCCTATCTTTCTATATCTACCCTAACCAACTGGCACAGTCTGCCGCACCCATAGTCTCCTAAATATGGGCCGGTAGCTAAGCGGAGTCGAGCGGGGCAGGAGTAACACTTAGGCTATGCCGTAACCCGCAGAAACCCGCACCCGAACCCGCCCCATCCTCCCTATGGGTCGGGTTTTGGGTCGGTCTGTCTAACCCGCATGCGGGTTGCGGGTTCTGATGGGAAACCCGCGCGGGTTTATGGGTTACCCAATGGGTCGTCAAACAGGACAAACATAGAAATTTATGTATAAAACTGTACATAAAAGTGGTTTATTACATAAAAAATTGGATTTATCTATCCTTTTTAGGTATAGTGTTAAAAAATTATGCAAAGATGGGCTAGCGTGGGTAACCCGCACCCGAACCCGCAACCCGCATGGGGCGGGTTGCGGGTTGACTTGACCAACCCATGGGTTTTGCGGGTTCGGGTTGCGGGTTGACTTTACCTACCCATTTGCGGGTTATGGCACAGACTAGTGACACTGCTAGACTGGCTAAATATCATAGTGGAGAGAGATATAGTTAAGGCTTATCGGTGCTGTTGCCGTAGGGAAGGACGTGAAACACAAAATTAACACTTAACTACCTGAGAGTTGACGAGCTACCCGCAGAGGCCATCAACTGACTCTCGTGAGGCAGTTATAGGAGGAAGAGGCCCTCGGAAATGTCGGTGTAGATATCACGTGAGGCTACAGACATGGTGAGGCTACAGGCATTGTGAGGCAACCCCAATAAAACCACTCCCTTTAATCGCCCGTTGCGGTGATGAAGAATCAGCAGTCAAAACGTGAATATGCGTGCGCCAAATGTGAGGACCTTACAAATAAGGAGGCCTATTTCGACGTCTCTCAGGACGACATAGATGCTAGAAGCTCTACCATAAGCCGGCAACCACTAGCTGTTCTTAGAAATAACAAAGACTTTCAATAGTACTATATAATACGAAGGCAACCAAGCACATCAAGTTCCTCTATATCTTTCGTGGACCTAGAATTCATCATAATTTTCACTATGAAGTCCATCGCAGCACAGGTTTCAAGACCAGACCTTCATTCATGTCATGGAATGCCTGCAAGAAGTCGTTGAAATCATAGACCTTGATCAACTTTTCCAATGGGAATTTACCCTCTTTGTGTTTCTCAATGAGGTAGGGAATCATCTATTTGTCATATTAGTCCACACGCAAAAGGTGGCTGAAATCAAGGCTTGAAATACCTCTCTTGCCACACTGTCACCCTGGTGGCAGCCAAGATATTGACGACCCATTGTGAGATGCGAGAAAACGTCCACTTCGACCTTCCTCCCAGGAGCTGGCGCCCCGACACTAGTAGCTTTCCCGCGAATTCCAAGAGTCGCAATCATAGTCTCTATTACGGGGATGGCACCGGAGCAATCAAGGGCAAAGTCTGCGCCCCGCGAAGATCCACATAGCTCAGTGATATATTTTCGGATGTGGGGATCATCTCCCCGGAAGGTATGGGTAGCACCCAGCTCCCGGGCCAAATCCAGTCTTTCAGGATGGAGATCCACGGCAACAATGATTCGAGCTCCCCGGATTGTGGCGGCCATCACCGCAGCGAGACCAACACAGCCAGTTCCGAAAACCACCACGGAACTACCAGTTCTCACGTTGAGGGTATTCAAGATTGCACCGGCTCCAGTTTGCATTCCACATCCTAGCGGAGCGTATAGCTGGAGATCTGTGGTCGGAGGAACACGTACGACTGATGACTTGTTTACCACTGCGATCTTTGAAAAAGAGCTCTGGCCGAAGAAATTAGAGAACAGGTGTTCTTCATCGGGCAGATGCATCGTGCTAGAGCCATCTAGTCGTTCTCCGCTGAAGTTCAGCTGCATCAGCTTTTCGCAGTAGGCCGGGTAATGTACGCTACATTGAGTGCATTCGCCACAGAAATTGTAGCTGAGCAGGACTTTGTCGCCGACCTGTACATCTGTGACGTCGCTTCCTGTTTCTAGTACCACTCCAGCACCTGTTCGGAGACATTCAATATCACTTCATCGCAAGGTATTTCATTTCTTAGATCATCTAGAACGTACCTTCATGGCCAAATACATTGGGAAACTGAACTGGAATATGCCCCTCCATACATGCCAAATCTGTATGGCAAACACCGGTCGCGTATATCTGAACTTTCAGCTCGTTGGCCTGCAGCGAATCTAGAACGATTTCCAGGAGCTTGGGCTTGACTCCAGCGGAATGGACAACAAGTGCGCTAGTCTTGTGATACATTATGGAAAAGTATGAATGGAGTAGTTGGTATGGACAAAAAAAAAGAAAATAGAAATGTAGCCTTTAGTACCTCTCTATGGATCCCCACTTACCCTCAAAGTTCGTCATCGTGATTCACCGGAATGACGCTACTCCGCAAGGTTCGATATCCGAAGCAGGTTCCGTTCGGAAACTCTTTGATGACCGTGTGGCATATATCTGGGGCATTAATTAGAACAAATAGCGCATTGGACTGAAGTTAGCTAAGCGTAACATTATGGGCTCGAGGTACGCTCCGGCAGAATTTACCAGCAGTGGTAACTTGAGTTAACTTGTGCAATTCTTCATCGTAGCAGTAGCAGAGAAGAGATCTCCTCTCTTGCCTTCGTAGTAACTCAACCTCCGCCTTTTTGAGTTCCACCATTGACCCACCTGGGGAAGAGATTCAACACCACCCCGTGGAGCCCCACAATTATTGGTTTATCCGAAAGGGTTCCGATCGGAACCCCACCATATCCGAAAATTTCAATTCTATGTCAGACTCGGTTATATGACGACAGTAAAAGCTATATAAGTTAAATCTTTCGATCAATGTACCCCCAGTCAATCATCCTGTTAACTGCAAAAAACAAAGAAGGTCAAGATGTCTGTTCCCTCATCGATCGAAACTCGTCATTTTATTAATGGCGAGTTTGTACCTTCCTTGGATGGATCCACCTTCAAATTATTCAACCCTTGGACCAACGACATAACTGCTGAAGTCTCAGAGGCAAAGGCAGCAGATGTCGATCGTGCTGTCAATAGCGCCAAAGCAGCCTTCCCGAAGTGGTCCTCACTTGATGGTCAGAACAAGCCTCCCAACATGTCTTCTTCTAAAAATTAATCATGTAGTATAGGCTCTGAAAGAAGAAGACTTATGCTTCGTCTTGCTGACCTTGTGGACCAAAACATCTCCGAGTTTGCACGGCTGGAGGCTCTGTCAATGGGCAAACCTGTGTCGCAATACATGGATTCGACAATGGGAACGGCAACATTGCGTTGTGAGTGCACCTTTTGGTCGTTATTTCGATTTCGAAATATAAACCGTAACTGATTAGTCCGAAGATTATGCCGGAAAGGCCCTTGATGTGCATGGTGTGACATCTCTTACGTCCCAGAACCATTTGAATCTCTCTCTCCGTCAACCCTACGGTGTTACCGCCGCAATCATTCCATGGAAGTAAGATAGATCTCGAGACAAAGTTTAACTAATACTCAAGGACCATGGATGGCTGACCCCAGATTTTATCCGCAGCGTACCTTTGATTATGCTCTGCTTCAAAGTCGGCCCCTCGTTGATTGCAGGAAATACCCTTATTGTGAAGTCCTCAGAGAAAGCCCCGCTCACTTGTTTACTATTTGCACGTCTAGCTCATGAAGCTGGTTTTCCTCCTGGCGTGCTGAACTTTTTATCTGGATTTGGCCTTCCTTGTGGAGATGCAATTGCACGTCACCCGATCATCCGGAAGATTGCTTTCACTGGCAGCTCAATGACGGGAAAGCTGATTCAGAAGGCCGCTGCCGAGTCGAACCTGAAGTCGTGTACACTCGAACTTGGGTAAGCCACAACTGACCTCGATGTCTTCCAAATAAACAAACAGTTTGTTGACTGTTTGTTACAGTGGAAAGAGTCCTTTGCTTATATTCGAGGATGCCAATCTCGAGAAGGCCGCAAAGGCAGCCGCGTTCTCTATCGTTTTCAACTCTGGTCAAGTATGTATGGCTTCCTCGCGAATCTATGTCCAGGAGTCAATTGCGCAGGAGTTTACTCAGCTCTATCTGAAGGAAATCCAGGCAATCTCTAACAAGGCAGGAGATCCATTGGACCCTGAGACCAACTTCGGTCCCCAGGCAGACAGCAAGCAAGTTCAAAACATTCGAACATTCTTGGACAGGGCGAAAATTGAAAACTTGAAAGTGATACTTGACGATCACGTGGTTCCTTCCCAGGGAAATTTCGTGTCACCCCGAGTATTCATCGATGTGCCGGAAGAAAATCCAATGATGAAAGAGGAAATTTTCGGGTGAGTCTCTCCTTTCTTTGGGAAATATGAAATATTCTGGATGATTATACACAGTGATCAGGCACTAACATCATCTGTTTACAGGGCGGTCTCATGTATCAACCGCTTCAAAAATGAAGCTGATGCCCTGGAACGAGCCAATGATTCAGAATTTGGTCTCTACGCTAGCGTTTTCACACGGGACTTGAACCGGGCAATTCGGATCGCCAAGGACTTCGAAGCTGGGTCTGTTGCAGTCAATTGTTCTTCGCCGTATTATTGCCAGGATCTTCCTCTTGGCGGTTTCAAGGGCTCGGGGACAGGTCGAGAGCTGGGCCAAGAGGGGCTAGATTCTTGGACCGAGGCTAAATCCATCTTTGTCTCCCTGGACTGAGTAAAAAATTAGATGCTTCGATTTTAGACAGGAAACTTCATGTTCCAGCATGTATCATCTACTGCCCTACCCCTTTGCAATATTCGGTTTGGATAGCAAAACACAGCGAAAGGACTGGTCCGTGAATAATTCAGATTGAATATCGTAATTGGGCTCTCTATAAATCGATATGATGAGGGTTCTTCAATATGCATCATCATTCTTCTCTAAGAACGAAGTCCTCGAATGAAATGAATCACCGAAACACCCTCCCCGAAAATATGGGTTCTGAACGATAGCATTGAAATTCGGTTTACTTCTTGGGTTTAAATTCACATGAAAATTGTCTCATCTTTAGTAAAGCAAAAGAACAATCCACCCCAATTATGCAAACTGAATGAAGCTTTAGAAGAAATCGCATTCTATATCTCACATATTCATGCACTGGTGTTAGATACATACTGGAATATTTGCCTTGATAGTATATCGATACTTAAAAAAAACAGGCTTTAGGATTACCGGATATCACTTCAGCAGCCCATCCAGAGTAGCTTGGATCAGAATTCATTCTCGATGGGAAGGTGATATTTAGTGATTATGGTCAGGTGATTGAAACATTTTTTGTGACATGAGACTTGGTGCAAATCAAGAACAAAACCGCATCATCGGAAATAACTTGCACGATCTCCAGGGCTACATGAGGAACTAGGTCAGACCGATATCAACTTAGTCTTCATCGTGTATATATGGTCTCTATTGCTCCCTTAGAAATTTAACAAATGATCTTAGCAATATCAGGTAATCAGGCCGGAGAAAAACTCTCAGGTGCCCTCTCTACTAAAAGGACACGCCGGCGCGCCCCCAACTCACCAAATATAGGCGCTTGCTCGTAGGGTGTCACAGGGCTGTTCCGGTGGTTTAGATTAACCACCGGAATCACTCCTGAAATACCACCGCCGATCACTGCGACTTGGAAGTTCTTCCTTGGGTGCAGCCATCGTTTCTAGTGATTTCATTGAAGTTGGTACAGATGTGATGGAAGTAAGAGGCTCTAGAGTTCTCTCTCTCAGTTACAATATCAAAATGACGTCTTTGTATAAAACGTCCAAATTGAACCTCTTGATCCATTTCATTGTGTGGCATAAGTTCCCTGATCCGAAGATTTGACGATGTGGCGGTGGGTTCGGATCTGTCCCGGAAACATCGGCTTTCCGCCAACCCTGCCAGCTTCTCTAAACCACAACTCGAAAGGGTGAATTGAGATATATACAAACTCAACTATTCATTTCGTATTTGTATCTACTCATATTGAACTGCGACAGTGGAATCTGAATGTCGGTAGCGATTACGGAAAAAAAAATTCAACAAAATAAAAGAACTGACTCCCTATGACAACACAGTTTTCTCCTTTGAGCTCTGATATTTTCTAGATTATTCAGCGTGCGTGATCGGTGAATTTTCCAATTCAAGCTATTCTTGTCTTGGCCATCGAAAACGAGGCAGAATAGGCGATCTAGGGGTGTTAAAGCGGAAACTTAACGAGAGAAATTCAGGGATCTTTCGACAATCAACTTGATTGCGTTGGTACGCCAATCATCGTTCTCCACAAAGCTCGTGGCGTTTCCATCGAACACCATGTTCTGGGGGTTCTTCAAGTTGTACGCGGGCCAGACAGTCTGGAATGATTTCACTTTTGAAACACGTATATTAGCAATAATCTCTTGACGATTAGATAAACACGTGGGGAAGCTTACCCCGGTGGTTATTGGGAGACTGCGTCGCGGCAAAGCTCATCCACATCCGGCTCATAATGTCCCCCAGCTGCTTATAGCTGTCTTCGCGTGCGACGGGCTGAACGTTAAAAGCATTTGATGGCATTCCCTGTCCCAGCACATTATTGAAAACAAATGCTACTTCCTCATAATGAGTGGCACCAAGGTAGAGAGGATTGGTGGCTCCAGGAATCGTGTTAAAGCGATAGCTATAGCAAGGGAGGCCATGTTGAGTCCAGACTTCGCACGCGTAGCGCCTCCCGGCAATGAACAATGCATCTCCGGTATATCTGGCGGTGCGCAAAAACTGAGCTCCATAGGGTGCAGAAACTGGAAGGGTATCATCCGACTGACCATGGATGGAGTTGGTGCCCGGCTCAGGATACGCTTTCAGCAGATCACGAATGGTTTCTTTGTTGGTGGCATGAACATATGAGTATTGTGCAATGTATTCAGCGAGCTCTTCAGTGGTATTGACGCCCATGCCGGCAAAGACCTTACCTTCATCTGTATTGGCACCGATGAGCAGAGGAACCTTCACAAACCGGCCATTGGCAAGAGCGGTAGAGGTATATTCGGGGATGATGGTTCCATCTATAACCGGAAGGAATGAGTGACTGTTAAACGCGGTATTCAATGCGTCAAAAGGCGCATCGCGAAGACATTTCAACGTATCGTTCGCATCTGTACAATTTGTTGCCCTGACAACGCTTTCATAGGTTTTCTCGGACTGAATATCTGGCGCAAAGCTGCCAAAGTAGTAGGGTCCGCCACTCTGACAGATTGCAGCATTGAAAAGGCCCTCATCTCGTCCTCCATTGGCTAAAAGGTGAAAGCCCACCGAAGCAGCACCGGCGGATTCTCCTTGGATGGTGACTCTCCGGTGGTCTCCCCCGAAGGCTTCAATATTTTCTTGGATCCACTGGAGAGCCAGTCGCTGGTCCTGTAAACCAAGATTCAGGAGACCTTTACTGCGAACCTCATTCCCGGCTAAGAAGCCCCATCCCTGAAGACGGTAGTTCATGGTTACCACAATTGACGGTTGGCCAATTTGAACGGACTTCTCAACTAGAGCGGAGGCATTGTATCTGGCATCGCCGGAGCCTCCTTCTTGGAAACCGCCTCCGAAAATATAGGTCAACACGGGAAGATGCGCGCTTGGATTCATTCCTGCTGGGCGGACAACATTGATCGTCAGGCAGTCCTCGTTCTGAGGATACCTGGTGGCGAGGTCGGCGGGATCCATTGGCAAGCCCAGCAAGTAATTGATACAGTGGGGGCCATATGCAGTCGCATTCAAAGGGGTTTTCCAGGTCTCATTCACCGATTGAGGTGCATTAAAACGAAAGTCTCCGATCGGGGGTTGCGCAAAAGGAATTCCCAAGAAAAGATCTTGGTCGTGGGACTCGACATATTTGCCAACAATCGTTCCGTTCCGGATGCGAACAGTTGGTCCCGAAATTTGATGCTGGGTTCCAGCTTGAACTTCGGGAGCAACCAGAAGCACAGTCACAGCTGTAAGTAGAAGCTGCATGTTGGATAGGAGAAAATTGGGTTTAATCTCCCAGAGAAGTAATAGTCACAGTAAATATATACCCTAAGAACTGGGGCGCTACGGTCGTTTAGAACGGACGCATCGGAATAGCGCGGATGTTCTCCGGGATGAAACTTGATTGACTGCTCAGTAATATCAATCCTGCGATTTCTAATCCTCAGATTGGTCTTGGTAATCTTTGAAATGATTATACCAGAACAGGCGCATTGTAAGTATAAAACGATATTCTACCTCCTGATAAAGTGACGGTGTTTAGCGGGAATTAGACAGCAGTTAATCATGAGTAAAACATTGGGATCAATAACAAACTTTGAAGTTTCTAAGCTCAAACAGCCAAGCAATAAAGAGAACTAAGGCTAAGTCGTCCGAAGCACTACTTTGCAAGGAATTGAAGGGTGAACGATAATACTATTTTAATGATTAAAGCAGATGAGAAACTATTCTACTTCTTAATTTTGACATGAAGAAAGAGTAAATTCTTCTACTTACTGTAATCGTCTCTTGGCATCGTCGTGCCAACCCTCTGAGAGATCTAAGAGTCGTCACATTGGACCCACAATATGAAAGTCGTCAAACATGCCAAGGCATGGTGACCCGCGGAATCAGGGCATGCGAAACGTGCAAACACTTACCGCGTCTTGGCGAGTTTGGGACCCACAAGCTTATCTCTTGGTATGTTTGGAAACAGCCGACGAATGCCAAACAGGAGTAGCGTCCACTTCGCCTTGCTTATTAATTGTCTCTTTGTGAGCAGAGCCCCACGTTTGTGGGTCTGCCAGTACTAAAATGCAAGATGCCATTTATAACGACAAGATGTTTCGGCAGTTTGCTGTGTTTGCATTAGACCCGCAGCGCCTAACTCATCGGCAGTATGAGCAAATCAAGGAATTTTGTCTTCACTCTTGCCTTCATGCCCAATCGAAGGATAGTCCAATGACGCACACGTCGAAGAAATCAATGCCAACAAAGTACAATTGGCGCCAATCCTTTATTGCCGATATTCAAATACTCTAGGCGCGCCCAAGCTGGCTTTTTATTTCCAGAGGTGCCGAATCGGCTTCCATTGACTGACTTAGATCAACATAAGTAATCTTATTATGGGGAAGATGCCCTTCAATCGCATTGCAGTATACAGTCACCGGGAATGGGCTAGTTCCAAGATCGTCAAAGCCATCACTAGCTCAGGTGCTCCCCTTCGGTTCCTCTATGGCCTCCGTATTAACACCTCATCTTTACCCGCTAATATTGAGGTCGCTGAGGTCGAATTGACTGATCAGGTATCATTAGTTAGACTTCGGCACGGGCCTGTTCACGGACAAAGAACCCTATCCATTATCCGCCATGAACAGAGGCCTTTTATTACGCAACGCTAACTGGTCATAGTGAGTATCGTTCGCTATGGGTTCTGCTTGCTAAGGTGATGCTCAAGCCTTGAGTCGTCGATCTGTAACCGTACCGTTGCGTTATCGTTAGGCCTTATATGGGCTCAGGTCTGTAAGATAGACTCAGTAGGATGCGCTAGGTACGTTTGCTCAGTCAAGCTATACCAAGGATCTATAATAAGCGTTACAGAGACTAAGGATACCTCTTCTGATCAGGGATTTATCTTGTACGAAATTAATAGGTGAATGAACTATTGAGTCTCAAGCAGCAATGTGAGAATGAACGTGAAGACTAAATATATATATTTTGATAAGTATCCTCACATGACTATCCTATATATTCAGTGGTACCCTATTGGGTATACTGTATGGTTCCCTTCTAGTGATCCCTTTTGTATAACTTCCTGTATACTAGATGTGTCACGTGTTGGTGCTGGGTATACTATATTGTCTTGGCGTAGAATTGGTTTATGTGGTCGGGCGGCTATTTCTAGCCCAAATGGTACTGTCCTGTCGTGATAACGAGTATATGTTGTGATGGCGAGTCGGAGGCTATAAATGGTGCGGGTAGTGAGCATCCCTGTGTACTTCCTTTCCTGGGAACTGGTTCGATTCTGTGTGTCCAAAAGTGACCTCTTAGTGAGTCCTTGATATATCTCTCTTAAAAGCGGGCTATAGAATATGCGTTATATCGGCTGAGTTCTGTATAGCTTTCTTGTTATATCTGTTAAAATTAGTCAATCTTGGTCTACTTATTCTTAAGGGCTGGAGAGAACCAGCATTTGAAATACGCTGCTGGTCGTTAGTTATGAGCATAAATATCTATTGTCATGGCCGTTACCTCTACAAGCTTCTTGATTGTCTTGTCTAGCGTTCGTCTCGTTTTTATCTCCTTTCATAGGCCTTATTGCCGATGTACGTCTTCGGCGATGTTGCACCAGTCCGCATGATTGTAGGCTTTCTTTAACTTAGCGTTAGGCTGGCGCTGAGCTCTTAAATCCTATTTAGAGTACGTTGCGTGGTGATCTGACCCATAGCTTTCGGGGTAAAGATTGTATTCGACGAGTAGGTCTGGATAGGTATTTACCGTCTGGTCGATAGTGGCGCCCTTCCGTAGGTCGTTAAATGGTCTAAAAGTCGCTATTCCCCCCTGGAACGCAGCGTTGTAGGCCATGCGCTTCTGAAAGGTTAATCAAATCGCTTGTGTCTTCAATAAATCGCAGTGAGATATAGTTTCCGCCCAACATCGAATGATGGATGACGGTTGAAATACCCTGACAGCATGACGCTTATTGTCTTTTGATTTTTTTTTGGGGGTATTAGCTGTGAGTGTGTTCTGGATTGCCTTGAGTATTGGCTTGGCTGACTTCTCAGTCGGCATGAATAGCGGAACGTATAAGACTATACTGGAAAGATAAGAAATTGAGAGTCGGTTGTCCAAATTTTGAGAGCCGAGACGTCCGGGTGGTCGCACGCGATCTGTAGGTGGAACAAAGTTGAGATCTATCAATTGACATGTATCAGGCTGTGAGACCAACCTATTTGAATCTCGCTGGTCAGTCAGTATAGCCGCCAGGCGCTGTGGTTAACATGAATTTGATAGGCGGTGATAGATGGTTCTTAGGTCAGGAGTACATTTGGATCCTAGCCCTAGTGGTCGTTGATGAGCTCTTCTACCCTAGGACCCGATTTCATCATATTGAACTATATTATGCTTAGGTTTGCTTTTAACGATCGAGGCGTTTTCTTGTATTACCATGCGAAGCGCCCAAATCGTTGGCACCGGAAGCATATCTTTCGCCTTAGTTGTAGAGATACAAAACCATATCACCCATCAAAATATTTTGAACCTTTAATTTTGAATTTCTCGAGAAATAGAAGGCTGTGCAAATTCTGAAGCAAGTTGAATAGAATTCTCTATTCTAAAAGAGTAACAAGGCTGCATGCAGCATTGCGTCCGACGCTTAAGCAGAAAGAAAAACACTCCTAGGTAGCAATCTAACAGAATGCAGGTCCATGAAGAAGAGCTCTCCTACCCATTCGGGCATTCTCATGAGCTAGCATTGAACACCACTGCTCTTCGTGCCAGAGCCTCACTAAGACTTCATCACCTTATCATTATCGCCTCATACCACCGATCTGTCGTTTTTTTCAGGTTTATTGAACACACGGCACCCAAATCGCCAAAGGCCTTGAATGTAGCCGAAGACCAAGCCCATTGCGAAAGTCCATCGACGAATCCGTACGGTGTAGATTAAAAAGTAAACAAGGACCCAATTGACGATCGTGAAAGCAAGGAAAATTCCAAAACACTTCCACTTTTCCCCCACTTTGACATTGAGCGTCTCCATGTATTCTTGTCCATCTTTGTATGGACAGTATCCACAGTCAAAGGTGGCGTTAGGTGAGGCAAGGTATCCCGCCTTTACAATTTCGGAGACAAAGTTACCGGCATACTCTGCGCAAGTCATGCCTGGTGGTGGGTTGAAATTGGCGAGCTCCGAGTCAGTACATTTAACTGGGCTTCCAGGAAGGGTGGCAGAAAGTACTCCACGAATCCACCACATGATAGGATTGACGTAGTACATCCAATATTTCCAAAACACGGGGAAATCATTGTAAGGGACGAAAACTCCATTGAAAAGATTCACCATCACAAAGAAGAATGGAAGCAGCTGAGGGGTGTTAGATCGTTGTCTCAATCAGTGGGAAAGTGCTGTCGACTTACATTTGATACAACGGCGTATGAAGGAGCAAAAGCACAAATCCATTGACCCCAACTGGCTTGAAACAACGAAAACATAATCGTCATCAAATAGACATAGCCGGCAGTTGAAGGTGAGGACGAAAAGCCGACTGGAAAATACCAAAGCAGCCAGTAAATAGTACCAGAGATAATAGCGATCGGAATTTCGCAGACTATGTTAGCTGTGCAAAAAGCCATATACCCATAAATACGACTGGGCAGCTCTCGAGTCTCCCACAACGCACGATTCTGGTAGAATTTGGGAACCACACTGTTGACGATGACAGGGGGGATCAGAGCAATCAGAGCGACGGTAAACATGCGGTTCTGCATACTTGCTACGGATGATCCGAGTTGCCAGAATGTCTGACGGTCAACAATAGTTTTCGCAGTTTAGGCATGTCTAGGGGTCAACTTACAAATCCGTTAAAGATCCCCAAAATCACGTTGACGAAGAGTCTGCTATAGTAGTATGATGGATCCCGCCAGTATTGAATAAACAGTCGACGGGTAAGCAGCCAGCTCTGATAGGCTGTAGGCATTGCATAATCGAAATTGGATTGTTGTGTCACGACAGGAGGCTGCGAAACACTGAATGTTTCGATTTCCTTTCGAATACGGCTTGCTTCGTCTGACTTCCTCCATTCATCGCCCCAGTGGATCAACTTGCCATTCAACAAAGAAGGCTGCATTGCCGTTTCCAGAACGAACTCAGCAACATTCTTTGCTGGTGGACAAGGAAAGCCTCTTTCAGCGAAATATTGCACCACAACTGACCCATTCTGGCCAACGGGTCCATTGTACAGAGTATTCCCTCCCGGACCAAGTGCAAGAATCCCGTCAAACTGCTCAAGTAGCTGTGATGATGGCTGGTGAATCGTGCAGATAATTGCTTGTCCATCATCACAGAGCTTCCTCAGGAATCGAACAATTGATCCAGCTGCTTGACTGTCAAGACCGCTGGTAGGCTCATCAAGGAAAAGCAGGAGGTCCGGCTTAGCAGCTGTAAAGAGTCGATGGTTAGTTGATTATTTGGAATAATTGCCCCACGAGACAACAAACCTAGTTCGACTCCGATAGTGACTCTTTTCTTCTGCTCAACCGTTAAGGATGAGATGAGAGCATCCTGAATATCAGCCAATTCTAAGAGATTAAGTATCTTCCTAGCGTAATTCACTTTTTCCGATGTAGAGACATCCCTTCCTTGGCGTAGAAGGGCCGAGAATTCGAATGCCTCAAGGATCGTTGATGATTCGTCGTGTAGGTCCATTTGTTCACAAAATCCAGCCATTCTCTTGAAATCGGATGGAAGAGGCGATCCGTTGACTAGCATCTTACCAGTAACGACGCCAGTTTTCTGCCTTTGGGCAAGGGTATTGAGCAAAGTGGTCTTACCAGCGCCCGAAGATCCCATCAAGGCTATCATGCTACCGGGCTTCACATAGCCAGTAATGCCGTTGAGAAGCCTTCGGGTTCCACCTCCATACGGCACCTCATATGTTACATCTTCAAAATTGAAGATGCGCTCAGTCTTCGAAACCGTGGGCTCTGGGGATTTTTCAGATGCTTCCAGATCTGCATCCTTCAGGGAAGGCTGTTGCACGCTTGCCCGGCCTTTGCTCTTAAAAACGAGAGCCCCGCCTCCATTTCCACTGAACTTGAAAGTTTCGGTTGCAATGGCCGTGATCAGAATGTATAGGACGGTGTAAGCAATGACGACCCCAAAGGCAGGCCATAGGTGTTTTCGTGAACTAAACCAATATCAGGTTTGATCGTATGAGATGGGCTCTGGAGACATACTAGGACAACGAGGAAGCCAAATAATCAGCACCTGAAACTTCGGTGCTGCCAATGCGAGATCCAGGCAGACTGCACCCTTGGTACTCTTGAGACGTGTTGGGACCCCGAGGCACCAAATCTGCCTCTGAACACTCCATCTCACGATTGGATAGTTCATTTGTCAAGAGAGCCTCAAAGCCATAGGCTATAGGATTGAGATAATATAGCCAGCCAAACCAAATCGAATTTTTGATGAGATCCGGCTTTGATATAACATACCCAGAGTAGACTATCATAATGTTCAATGCTGTAGGAGTGAGTCAAAGTTCTAAACCAGGGTAAAAGATCCCGCAAGAACTTACCGGTGCCGCCAAATCTGACTGCATCATCGATAGTAGGCGAAAGCGCTGCAAACATGCGGTAGAGAGCTGTCAGGCAGATGGTCGCAGAGTAAACAAATAACAAGTAGATAAAAAATTTCCCCGCCTCAACGTCTAGCTGGGCTAGGAAATAGACAACTATTCCAAACAAAATCGTCATTGGGAGAACAAGTAAGAGGTCCAGGAGCACTCTGGCAATAACCACTGCAGAAGGTCGATAAAACGCATACTGAGTATGACGATTGATGATTGGTCGACCGGAGACTGCAGGCATCAGTTCAGTCATTTGTAGCCAACCAAGAAAAACAATAGAGAAAAAAGCAGTACTGCCTTTGGTGAAGGCGGAGCTGGTGTCTGGAGGTTTTCCGTAAAACAGGGAGCCGACGATGAGACTGTTTGCCACAATGGTGAAGATTTTAGTTGCAAGTGACGCTTTGTCACCCCAAACTAGCCATGCCTCACGCTTGGTGCAGGTTAAAACTTGCTTCAGGAATGAAACAGTGTATACCGATCGCTTAGAAACAGTCTTGCTTTTTGCTATCACTTGTGTTAGCCATTGGAGAAAACAGCAGAATCAACAAACTTACAAGAATGGACGGTTTTCTCAAATCTGTCGTGATGCTCTGTTTGCGTCTCTTTGGTCATCATTTTGTACGCCTCGACGTTTTCAAGAACCCTTTTATAATGGGAGCTGGCCCTGAAGGCTTTTTCCAATTCTGCGACCGTTTTTGGTGTAGATTGTTCTCGACCAGGTTGAAATTGCCGAGCACTCGCCTCGCAGACCGATGTCAAGAAATCTGCTGTTGTCCTGAAATATGGAAGAGAAGACACTTGATTAGCGTCAAAATTTAGGAGAGGAATTTTCCGTTCTCACTGTCTTGGGTGGCATAGGAATCCCAAATCTTCAAAGTATGCCTTGGCTTCTGAAGCGGGTCCTTGATAGAGCATTCGACCTTCCTCGATAAGTAACACCTTGTCCATAAGCTGGTACAGGGATTCTCCAGCTTGATACAATGTCACCATGGTTGTTCGATGACTGATATCCGTCATTGTCCGTAAAGCACGAGCAAACTCCAGCGCGGTATTTGCATCTAGGCCACGAGTTGAGTTGTCCCAGCACACCACAGATGCCTTTGTTGCCATGGTCTCTGCAATACTAACACGTTTTCTCTCACCCCCAGAAACACCTGCGATATTCCAAATCTGTCAATGCGCTATGCACGGGAATAAAAAAGGGTATCAATCACCTCGAACAAATTCATTTCCAACAACAGTCTCTTTCACGTGTGGCATTCCAAGCAGTTCAAGAAATGATCCAAGTATAGTCGGTATGCTCCATCGATCCCGCTTCCTCGTCTTATTTTCCAGCGCAAATTGCAGGGTTTGTGAGACCGTCAGAGTTGGGAAGTGACAATCGTCTTCCTCATTGTACACCACTTCTCCACGGTAGTACTTTCCTTGTTGTTCTGCTGATAGAAGACCGTAATGCACCTCTCCTTGAACCGCGGCATAGCTTGCTCGGTCGTTCGCAATCGACTTTAAGAACGTTGAACACCCCGCTCCCGGTCGTCCGAGGACCAGCATCATCTCTCCGGCGTTCACAGTTCCGGAAATATCGTGAATCAGGTCGCGCGTAAGACTTGATCCAATCCTCAAGGCAGGTATCATGTCAGTGACGATATGGTACAGGTCGGGTCCAAAGGTTCCAAGGATTGCAGTAGGCACAGTTCTGACTTGAGAGCTCGAACTTGTCGTGCCTTTGACTGTAAGATTCTCAAAGCAGGCCCCCAGCCCCTTTGCAGCGCCCCCTGCAGTGCTGCGCCGCTCCAGAATGCCCTGTTGGAGGAACTCAGCCAGATCAAAGGCAGCGTCATTTTCTTCCTCGGTTGTAGAAGAGGTTTCAACACTGATGCTTTCGTTTGAAGCATGACTTCCTGCTTCTAGTGGCTGAGGCATTGATCCTGGGTGAACATGGTTCCCGTCTCCGTCTGCATGTTGATTAATTTCCATTACTCGTGCGTCAAGAACGAAATATGTATTCGCTGGCGAAGACTTTGGATGCTTACCAGCGGGCAAAAATCCCGAATCTCGTTCCATCGTCATATCTTTTTTTCCTTTTGGGAAGTGAGATGTTTCCGTAGATAGAGGTAGGAAGTTTTGGACCCCCTATCTTGCTAGCGAATAGCTCACACCAGTTGAGCGAAATCAATGCCAAGTTAGTAGCATATATATTCAAATAGAGGACGAGTGCGATCCAGTTGCTTTTAAACAGAACTGCCTGGCCGGCTGGCCTAGTCTGTCCGATGGCAAAATGATTGCCGAGTGGATATCGGATATAACATCGGCTGCGTCGACCAAATATGCTGAGGATGACGTTAATATTAATCTCTAGAAACCATATTTTCATCCAAGCAAACGATCACTTTCGTGCACTGCCTACTTGCTGCGCGAAATACGCCGTGTACTTGCAAAAACTGCACCCAACATGTTCCAATGTAATGAGGGCTGTTTACTCTACTGTCTGCTCCCGTAGTCCGGCCCGTGTGGGGAGATAAATACGTAGTGTGAAAAGAACCCTATTGTCGAGTTCCTGATTCGCTTTTACCGATCAAGGGATTCAATAGCTCCGCGTTGGGTATCGGGTTTTGCGGATATTGCCGATGCAGTTTTGCGCTGTCGGAAATGATATATCCGATGCCGATATCTCATAGCGTTATTTGGGTTTTCAAGTCGGCTTCGGTAAATTGATTGGTCTTGATTTCACTATTGCCGTAGATGCACATCACTTCATTTATAGATTGAACTGATTCTAGTAGCTCCGATCCGTCCCGGTGTCCAAGATATTTTCCATGTCGCTGAAGTCCATCGTACTAAAATCAAACAAAGTTCCGAAATCTGCGGCAAGCACATCGAAATCGAAGTCCAAATTGTTCTCTGCAGCCAAGAAACTTTTTATGTCATGTAAGTCGAATCTCCCTGTCATGTCTGAATCGGATTTTGAGGAAACTGCCGGCTGAAATGCTGCCAACTGAGTGGACTGGGGAGACAATCCGGGTTGTCTACTGTGCGGAGGCCGCACATAGTCATCACGAGCTATTTGGGGTCCTGTTTCTGGATCTTCCGGCTGCTCCACAACTTTTTGTCGCAGTCGAGAGATAACCAACATCATGCGTGAGACGACATCTGCATGAGGTAACGCCAACAGGAAACCCATAGCTTGGTCGATGAGCTGGAGATGGGAAGATTTAGTATTTGAATCACGTAGAATGTCTTCCAGAAGTAAAAAACATGCGTTCACGATATACCAGCAGAAATATCGTTGCGTCTGAATGAGGGTCAGTATTCAAATCATTATTTCGGAGACATTCAGTGCCATATCAGAGCATCGACAGGTAGTTGCAACTCAACTTACTCTCACTTCTGGACTGATACGATAAGCATCTGACGTAAAACTGATAAGGCGTACAGCAGCTTTAACAGTAACACGACATGCTACATTGAGCCATGAGTCCGACTGGAAAGCTAGCTGGGAGCTATTTTCCTCCACGTGACGGTTCTTTTGCCATGATCTATAGATCGTTAAGAATGGCTTGAATGTAGTTAAAACGGTGTGGTTGTAGACTAAGACATTAGACATGAACAATAAGGTGTGGTAGTGACCTACAATTAATCAAGTAAACATGTTTGATGTCAACGCCCGGAAGGCAGGGATCGCTGTTCAGATCGAAATTCATAACATCTTGCACTCTGGTAGTAAAACCCTGCAGGTCATTGAAGATACTTTGAGCACTCTTCCATAAACACGGTAGAGATATCTTTTGATGGCCATAGATATCGTTCTTTGATCTCAGCATAATTTCAGATAGCTGTGCCAGAATTGAGATGAATGGCTGGCGTTCAGGGTGAGGACATGAGCTGTCACTAGCACTAACTGCATTGGGCCGACCCATGGAGTAAGAGGTCCAACTAGATATCGAAGGTAAGCAAGCTTCATTTAACTTGCAATTAGGAGCAAAACATGCCGTTCGAAAAAGGCCATGCTCCAAAATGTGACTCGCCGTTCTTCGGAGCGCTCAGCTGCAGCGCCCGGGGGTATAGAGTGGGACGGATGGTCAATGTCCCTATGCATACCGGCCGCAAAAGCCAAACGTGCCGCGGATCCGAGTTGGAGATAGGACAAATTTGGTCGACCAGAGACAATTTGATAGTGACTGTATCATAGAATAAGCATTCAGACCGTCGAGAGACCATTTTGTTGGTCTGGAGGGAACACTTATGAGTAGCAATTGAGTCTGAACAGTAGATAAATTGACAATGTCACTGCGGATATCACTCTCCGATTGGGAGCGTTCGTACAATGCTTCAGCCCAGTGGGAATGCTCAGTTGAGGTAGCACCGATGGCCAAACATATCAGAATTATGATACGATTAGTTTGTTGGAGCTTCAAGTTTGGTATTTTGCCATAGAGACCGTCCAACATTCCTTCGAGGTCTTTCGGGGACCAAAATGGGAAAACCTGATGAATACCGCGTAAATAGCATAGGAGGAAGCGCTGAGCTAAATCGTACGAAAGGAAAGCGAGCTCTCCGTCCACTCCAGGTAATCGTGTTCCATTCAAATTACGGGAGGATCCGAAGAACAACTCACAGTGCCCGTATACATCTAAACCTGCTTGCCAATCATCTCCAGCACCAGCGGATAACTGTGCTTGATCCGAATCAATTGTGACGCTTCGATGTATCTGTTGGAGGCTTGAAAAATGAGAGCATGCGCCATAGTATAGTTGAGAAACTTCTGTGGAAAGCCCAGTCTGGGTTGCGGTAATGATAGGATGAACTATTTCACTTTGGAGACGTTTTGCAACGGATGACCTTGATGGGTCTGTCTCGATCATTGGGTCTTGGTCGGCGGGTGAGTCTGACGTAGACTCTGAGGGGGACTGGGTGCTCAATGAAACGCCGTTCCGAATACGATTTATTTTTCGATATGAACATTGAATATCGCGTAATCGACAAAAGCCGCAGGGTAGCTCTCCATCACAGCGGGTCTTTCGAAACCTGCAGGTTGCGCAAGCTTTGGAGATTCGCCGCCGGGATTTTGCTGGCTGAGTCAGTGGGTCGAAGGGGAATTGGCATGGAAGCTTTCATACTGAGATTCGCAGGGACTGACATTCTTTGCCAACAGCTTTGAATTCACTCGCATGAGACATGGGGCCTGATAGCAGAGGATCGGAAATAAAGGCGCTCGGATAGAGGAGAAGGGATGGCATCGGATGTAGAGTGCTTTGTCATCGGGCATCCATCCCGGTGGTCCCGATTCCAATCGCGAGCCGTGAAAGCCACAAGCCAGTGAGAGCTGCGAATACAATTGATCTAGCATTAGTGCAACCTCCGCTAAATTGAGTGAAGATTCAGTAAGCTCGTGAATGCATTTAAGAAATTCACACTGGAGAAGTTTGGGGAGTTGTCTTTTATAGCCGGTCACATCAATAAGCCACATCAAACGTAGGAGGTATTTCCTCCTCTTAACAATTAGTCGTCAAATAAGAGCAGCTGATTTATGATTATTTGACTTTCACTTACCGCCTGTACTGCTTAATTGATTCATGGGCCTTCCTGACAAAAGACTGGTTGCCTCTTACAACGGCCAGAACATAACGCAGCCGCCACGTTGATGACAACGCCGCCACAATCATACCCGGCACAAATCCCGATATAAATAACTTCTTCCATGCTAAAATGCCATATTCTATTGCTACCGACACACGCAGCACTCTAGAGATACTTGACTAATTGTCGGCGTGGGAAATAGGGGACAAGCCCCTAGTACGAATGCGCATCGAACCGCGATCCGTGGCTTTCCTTGTCGCTTTTTGATACACAAGCACCACATTGGCCTTGATTACCACTACACACAATCCAAGCAACTTTACCAGTTGAAATGACCTAGTTTGGCTTTCGCAGATTGATCGGGATTACGGATATATCATCTGTTGGTCGATTCGCACGTGATAAATGAATCGAGATCGAGGGAGTAATAGCACAGGTCTTACTTTCCGAAAAATCCCCGTGTATGACCCTTTGGAGCTACCCCAAATGCTTCAATAACCTCGATTCTTTTCGGAGACCAAATGTCGATGTCGCCTTCCCATACAGAGCTGGGTGTTTCTCGAAAACGACGGCACCGTCATGGGCCGAAGGCCAAGGCTTGTGATTCTTGTTGGAAACGTAAGGTAGGTTGGTAGGACATGAATGAGCTGCGCTATCATCAGTCTCCTGCTGACACAAGTAGATCAAATGCGACAAGGCTGTGCCCAAATGCGCCTGGTGCCGCCACTATTGTGTGACCTGTACATTCAATCGACGACACTCAGATCGCCCACCTACCGAGGCGGCAGAATATTCCGAGGCATGTAATGTGGCACCACGAAGCAACATCGTTCACACTGCGACCCAACTTGGTAACCAAGCAGCGCTATCCGGACAATCGAGCCCCCAGGTGAACGCGCCGCTAGAGAATCTTCCCAAAATGACAAACGGAACTCCAGAAAAGCTTTCTTTGGAATGGTTTTTCAACCCAAGCCAGCGAGCACGATCAAGAGCTCCGGTCCTGCAGTCTGGCAAAATTTATCTTGACGGAGAGGAGCTAGGCACTATTGACTGCGAAAATGGTATTCCTCTTTTCTCCTCCCAAGGCCAGGCGTGGGTTGAGAACCGATCTGGCGAGTCAATCATCTACAACGAGATTCGAGAAAGTCCAGAGAGTTGTTATACGAGCTCCACGAATACAAGCACCTCGGATAGAGCACCTCCTCTAACCTTACCACCGATCAGCCTCGTTGAAAGCAGCCTTGAATCATTCTTGAGATCGAGGACCCGTGCTAATTTCCCTTTGATCGATCCGAATCTCTTCAGAGAAACCATTCAAGCTGCTTATGGTAGTTCCGAAATTGGTCCATTCAGACTAATCAGTGCAAGAATATGCATTGCAACATTCCTGTCCTTTGAGGCCATCTTCAATCTCGACATAGAAAGAGCCCCACCCTTCAATTTTGAAGAATATATATCTGCTGCAGAAAATGCACTGCCTCAACTGACCGCCGGTATGCATCTGGATGGATTCCAAGCTTGTGTTATGCTAGTGAGTCTCTGGCAGTATAGTCGTTGGGGGAAGGACCCAGTCTTCTAAGATGACTGATCCCGTTCATTGTATGACAGTTGATTTGCCAGCTTTTCTCGGGAAAGCTGAAGTCTGGCTACTTGACCATGTCACTAGCCGCTCATTTCACGTTTGTTCTTGGTGCTCATGTTGCACCCGAAAGTTCTTCCGATAACTCACCCAAAACCTGCCATAAGAGACATTTGCGAAATCTTTTTTGGATTTGTTATACGCTTGATAAAGAGTTTTCATTGCGTACTGGCAATCCTTCGACCCTCTGCGATACCAATTGCGATCTGACAATAACCCCCAATTACATGCAGCAGCTCTATGTCGACCTTGCCCCCTGTCTTGCCAAGGATGAATGCTATCCTTGCGTCATATTCCCAAGTGATGCCCGGTTAAGCTGTGTAAAATCATCCATCTATCAATTGTTATATTCGTCATCGTCTGTTTACAAAAGTGATGTCCAGCTGCTTGTTGACGTCCGGAAACTCGATGACGATTTAGAGGCGTGGCGTCAGGCAATTCCCCATAAATATCGGCCGGGTCATTCTGCCCAGGATCCGAAAGATGGCAATAATGGTGAAAGAGACGCGCGTGTGCTATTGATTCGCCTCGAATATGAATTTTGTCTGGCTTTGATCCACAAGGCCACCAGTCGCTGCGTAGTGGGCACGACGAGCGAAATTGAGAAATTACCTGGCCTCAGCTCAAGTCACGCACTGGCTGTGCAAGCCAGTCGGTCGTCGTTGATCTACTTACAAGGCGCGTGCCATTCTCTTGCTGAGACTAACTTTTGGTTAGCATTCCCTCACCCCTTTCCCAGTCTCTACCATCGGGTGGACTCTGTTGTGGCCACGAGGCTTATTGGACTGACTTTGTCAGGCTTATTCTTTTCTATCCCATATCAGCTATCACCACAATATTTTGCAATATCCTGCAGAACCCTCACGATGTCTCGGTTGAATGGGACCTGGCATTATTACAGGCTATCCCCGCGCTTACATACGCTTTTCAACCTCGCCATTTAACATCAGAGGCAGCCCATCACGCCAGACAATTGAATGACTATGCGTATGAGCTGAGTCGCATCGCTCAGTGTGCAGTTCGAAAGGCCAAGAAAAATGATATCTCCTAACTTATGGAGAATCAAGTAGTGTGGCTCACGAGTTCAAGGGTGATAGAATGGAGCCTGTCAGAATAATATTTTTTGGTTTTTGTTGATCTGAACACACTGGAACTATGATATACGACCCGTCGGAACCTGGGTATCACGTGATCAACGGTAGTTGGGTGCTTTCTTCCCTCTCTCCTTCCCTCCTCCATACCACACAAATACTAGAACATTGTTCTGTCTGTTCGTTATTTCTTGTAGCGGCAAGCTATATAAGCTTGTGCTTCTTCTTTCTTTTCTCTTTTCTCCCCTGGTCCTCGAACAGCGTCACACGCTGACAAGACCTAATAAAAATTGGTCATAGTGGAGTCTGAAGTTAGTTTGCTCAGAAATTGAGGCGCAGTTGATCCATAGGTCCGAACCTCCGTCCTCTCAACCTTGTCCCAACCTCCGTGTCTAGGCTTTACTAGCCCTCCCAACCTCCGTGTATTGACACATTCATGCCAATCATAAAATTTACTGTGAATCTTGGAATCGGATCGAAACTCAGTCATTTTGTACCAGTATCTCCAAATCACCGTCTTCACCTCAGGCTCCACTCAGTGCCCCTGTCTCGGGTTCACTACTGGTCTATACAGCATGGATTCACCCCCCCCCCCATCCCGAAACGAGAATTTTCTGCCAGTTTTAAATTCAAAACAGTCATGTATTGTCATCTACTAAAATTTAATCGGAAAAATAGGTATGATATCAAGATGAACACGGGGTTTTTTTCGTAAATTACTTCATTATTAAGCTAGACGGTCAACTGAATTCTTACCGCTTATGTGAGGGGGGGGTGAATCCATACTGTATGGACCAGTATGTATTCTGGTCAACCTCCGTGTTTTTCAGTAACCCCCGTGTCTCGATCGAATACTTACGCATGAACAGGTTCAGATCGTGATTGACAATGGTCGATCCTATCCACACGAACGGTTTCGGCTTCTTTCGGAAACCCATATGGACATGCGTACTATATTTTCTATTTTCATTGATAACCACGCTATTATAAATAAACATGATCCCCTTTGCATGAATGCTAGGCAATATTCTAACACTTTGATTCACCCAGCTTTCACTCCTTTAATCCATTTTTCATCCTTCCAAACTTGTGTCCTCAGTCATCGTGAACCCTCTGCATCATGTCGTCTCCACCAGGGGCGCCGATCTATGAAGATACCTCCCCCACTGTTAGTTCAGAAACTGTCAATGAAGACAACGATGCGAGATCAATCACAAACATGGAAGGCGAAAAGCAGTTCTCGAATGCCAATTTCGACAATGAAGCGGTTCAAGAGAAGCGCTCCTCGCATGATCAGAAGAATAGTCTGCATCTGATCATTAGGCAGATGAAGGAAGAAGAAGAGGCATCTGGCATCAAGGGACGGAGACTTGGCGTCACCTGGCAGAATCTGTCAGTGCAAGTCAAAGAGGCAAGCGTTGCGGTGAAGCACAACGTGTTGTCCCAGTGCAATCTTATCGGGCAACTGCGAACTTTGACCCACAAGCCTCCCCTGAAATTTATTTTGGAGGACAGCCACGGATGTGTTAAGCCTGGAGAGATGCTGTTGGTGCTCGGTCGTCCTGGATCGGGTTGCACAACCCTCCTCAAATTGCTCGCCAATCGCCGAATGGGTTACGAAAGCGTCTCGGGAGACGTTCACTTTGGATCCATGGATCACAAGAAGGCCTTGCAGTATCGTAGTCAAATTGTCATGAATACGGAAGAGGAGATTTTCTTTCCTACTTTGACGGTTGACCAAACCATGGACTTTGCCACAAAGTTGAAGGTTCCATCCTTTCGGCCACAGAGATATCACGAATCAACGACTGAATATCATCAGGATATGAAAGTCTTCTTGATGAACGCAATGGGCATTTCGCATACCGGTGACACGAAAGTCGGTAACGAGTATGTTCGTGGTGTTTCCGGAGGAGAGCGCAAGCGGGTGTCAATCATCGAATGTCTGGCTAGCAGGGGCTCAGTATTCTGCTGGGACAACAGTACTAGAGGACTTGATGCAAGCTCTGCTCTTGATTGGGCCAGATGTCTTCGCTCCCTCACAGATATTTTCGGCTTATCAACGATTGTAACCCTTTACCAAGCCGGAAACGGGATATACCACCAATTTGACAAAGTTTTGGTGCTCGACGAAGGGAAGCAGATCTACTATGGATCCCGGGAAGATGCTCGTCCATTTCTCGAAGACCTAGGGTTTATTTGTCGGGATGGCGCAAATGTGGCAGACTATTTGACGGGTGTCACTGTTCCCACAGAGCGAGAGATCCGATCCGAGTTTGAACACAAATTCCCCCGAACGGCGGAACAAATTCGAAACCTTTATCACCAGTCGCCTATCTATCGTCAGATGACCAAGGAATATGACTACCCGGCATCAGCAGCTGCGAAGAACGATACTGAAGAATTCTTTGAGACGATCCGCTCAGAAAAACACAAAACATTGAAGCCTGATTCCATTTTAACTGTCAGTCTATACCAGCAGGTCAAGGCCTGTATTATCCGGCAATACCAGATCATTTGGGGAGACAAGGCCACACTGGCTATTAAGCAGATCTCAGCTTTGATACAGTCACTCGTCTCTGGTTCTCTTTTTTATAATGCTTCGGCAGGCTCAAGTGGGCTCTTCATCAAATCGGGAGCTTTGTTCTTTGCCATTCTTTACAACTCTTTGATGGTGCCTATTTCTGAGGTCACCGATTCTTTTTTCGGCCGTCCTGTTCTCATCAAGCATAAGTATTTCGCCTTTTTCCATCCTGCAGCCTTTTGCATAGCGCAGGTTGCCACGGACATACCGATCACCCTTTTCCATGTCACTATATTCAGTATCCCGTTGTACTTCATGGTACATCTGACTTACACGGCAGACGCCTTCTTCACTTTTTGGATCGTCATTTTCGCCATTTCAATGTGTGGAATTGCGATGTTCCGCGCCGTCGGCGCGGCATTCAAGACATTTGACGGTGCTTCCAAGGTATCCGGTTTTCTCATCATCGCTTTGGTGACCTTCGCAGGTTATATGATCCAATACAGCAAAATGCATCCATGGCTAGGTTGGATCTACTGGATTAACCCCGTTGCCTATGCTTTTGAATCTGTCTTGTCGACGGAGTTCTTTGGAAAGATCATCGATTGTGAAGGCGTCAACCTCATTCCGAGGGGTGCTGGATATAACGATGCCGCGCATCAATCCTGTGCTGGTGTGGGAGGAGCAATCCAGGGTCAAACGAGCCTTACAGGCGTGCAGTACCTACATTCTCTCAGTTATTCTCATTCTCATGTCTGGCGTAACTTTGGAATTGTGTGGGCATGGTGGGCCCTTTTCGTTTGTGTGACAATCTTCTTCACCACCAGGTGGAAGGATAGCGCCGAGACAGGCTCCTCTCAAGCAGTGCCTTATGAAAAGCGGCAAGTCTTTCAAAGCATCAGCGATGAAGAGTCTCAATCAGCATCCGCCGGGCCTGTTACTGCTTCAGACACAAGAAATAATATCACAGAGGGACTTGTGAAGAACACCTCGGTATTTACCTGGAAGGGGTTAACCTACACTGTTCAAACCCCTAGTGGTGACAGGGTTCTCCTCGAAAATATCAATGGTTGGGTTAAGCCCGGTATGTTAGGGGCTCTTATGGGATCTTCCGGTGCTGGAAAAACCACTCTCCTCGATGTCTTGGCCCAGCGAAAAACAGACGGTAATATACACGGATCTATTTTGGTTGACGGACGCCCTCTGCCAATATCATTCCAGCGATCCGCAGGCTACTGCGAGCAACTCGATGTGCATGAGCCATATGCCACTGTTAAGGAGGCTTTGCAATTTTCAGCCCTATTGCGGCAGCCACGGAATACGCCACGACAGGAGAAGCTTGCATATGTTGACGTGATTATTGATCTGCTTGAGCTTCACGATATTGCTGATACATTGATTGGCAAGGTCGGCGCAGGACTAAGCATTGAGCAACGGAAACGCGTCACCATCGGTGTCGAGCTTGTCTCTAAACCCAGTATTTTGATTTTCCTGGATGAGCCTACCTCTGGCCTCGATGGACAATCTGCTTTCAACACAGTACGATTTCTTCGTAAGCTAGCAGACTGTGGCCAAGCAGTTTTAGTGACTATCCATCAGCCTTCTGCCCAGCTCTTCGCGCAGTTTGATACTCTTCTTCTTCTAGCAAAGGGTGGTAAGACTGTTTATTTCGGCGATATTGGTGACCATGCTGCTACGATCAAGGAATATTTCGGAAGAAACGGCTACCCATGTCCACCGGATGCAAACCCTGCAGAGTACATGATTGATGTTCTCTCACAACAAGATTGGCATGAAGTTTGGTTGCAATCACCTGAAAATGCTCACACCATGAAGGAATTGGATTCGATTAATAATGAGGCTGCAAACAAACCTGATAAAGCCCTCGCTGATGATAACGAATTTGCTACCAGCACCTTGGAACAAACTAAAATTGTGACTAATCGCATGAATGTGGCTTTGTTCCGCAATACCGAATACGTCAACAACAAAATCCTCCTTCACATAATTTGCGGCCTTTTCAACGGGTTTTCATTTTGGATGATTGGGGATTCGGTCGGCGAGTTTCAACTCCGTCTCTTTACCATCTACATGTTCATATTCGTTGCCCCGGGAGTTATCAATCAGCTACAGCCTCTGTTCATTGAACGGCGTGAAGTCTATGATGCTCGTGAGAAGAAATCTCGAATGTATTCATGGAAAGCCTTTGTCACCGGGCTCATCGTGTCCGAGTTCCCTTATCTTACACTTTGCGCAACCTTTTACTTCTGCTGTTGGTACTTCACAGTCGGATTCCCCAAGGATTCCAACAGAGCGGGTGCAACATTCTTTATCATGTGGCTATATGAGTTCATCTACACAGGACTGGGTCAGGCCATCGCAGCCTATGCTCCGAATGCAGTGTTCGCAGCCCTTGCAAACCCTCTGATTCTTGGTGTGATCGTTGCCTTCTGTGGAACACTGGTCCCATACTCTCAAATCACCCCTTTCTGGAGATACTGGCTATATTACTTGAATCCGTACACCTACGTATCAGGTGCCATGTTGGTCTTTGGCATCTATGATGTCAAGGTACAGTGCAAAGACAGCGAGTTTGCCCTTTTCGACCCCCCAAGCGGAAGCACCTGCGGCGATTACCTCAACTCGTACCTCAGTGCTGGAGGAGCCGGAGAGAGGTCGAATTTGGTGAATCCCAATGCAACTTCGGCCTGTCGCGTCTGTGAGTATCGCACAGGAAGCGACTATCTCTACACTCTCAACTTGAAAAACTACTATGATGGATGGCGCAACATCGGAATCACCGTCATTTTCATCATCAGTTCTTATGCCACTGTCTACCTCATGATGAAGATGAGAACGAAGGCCTCAAAGAAAGCTGAATGAACGATTCCTGCATCTTTTAGAAGTGGTAATCGGCATTTAATTCGCCCGATTCACCACTGCAGCGACTTGAAGAATCAAGGATGCCAGATCACGCAGAGTATGGGAAGCGACTTCCCAGAGCTATATCTCATTACGTAGATCTGCCTTTGATGAAGTGGTCTTCAATTTTAAATTATTGTTATTGCATTGGTGGAAGGAGAGCTTGGTGTCTTGTTCCTGCTGATTCCACTATATTTGGTCATGGCAGAATGGCGAAACGCACCAGCTTTCTGTCGCGCAAACTTTCCGTTCTGTTAATTATTGTACAGCTATGGTTTTGGGTCAGATGTTTAATTTTAACTTCGCTGCAATCAAACCGGAAATGCATATACATACATGAAGAGTTTCTGTCGCGAAGTTGGTTTTCTTCTTTTTCTTTGGCATTTGTGATAATAAGTTAATTATACATCAATCCATTTACTTGGGTTGTTCAATCAAGGACTGGTTACACTGGAGTTATTTCATAGTATTGTATCATAGTAGTTAAGACTTGCTGGAAGACCTCAGCATCGGGCTTTTACTGATGCTTCACCCTGATTTCCTTGTTAGTTTCCCTATAAAGTACGTTATGTCAAGGATTGTGAATTATCTATGGGAGATAAAATCTTACGCGTTAACATTTTACAACCGTGCATGTAGCGCATGTCATCTCCGTCTCCTTTTCGATCTCATTCAAATGACGTTCTTTATTCACATTGGTCGAACTGGTTCGTAAAGAAAGTCCTTACTTCCCCAGGCAGCGATCGGTATGGCTTAAGCTTGCCTTCGACAATCAGGCTGGAAAGTGTTGCCTTAGGATAATCTTCAACGTCCCAGATATCTGCACCAATCATTTTGGCCTGCTGCCCAGTTGCCCAAATCTTTCGACAGTAGAGTGCGAGGGCAAATGGATTGCCTGTTTCAATTGCCTCGTCTAATTCTCGGGTAATGTTCTCTTTGCTTTCATGCTTTATGAGTGGGGCCGTATTGAACTTGCGTGTGAGAGCTTCGGCAATTTCATTTCCGGTAGGTACCAGTTCAGATAATGCCAAGTCTCGATTTTGTAACTGATTGATAGGCGTTGAAGCGAAGATGCATGCGTAAGCTGCTGCCACGTAAGACCGCGTGCTGCTAATTAATCAGAAAAAAAAAAGCACGAAAATCAGATTCTATAGCATGCTTACCAAAGATTCAACGGCTCTAAAGCACTATCACCGATGAAATGTATCCTGTTATCCTGGCAGTCGACGCCCATTGCGCTAGAATGTTTAATCCGGTGGTCAGAATAATGACTTTTCATGAATAAGCGGACTACTTACGGCGTGGATAAGGCAAACTCTACAAAGTTTCCGGGAAGAACGACCGTGGTAGGGATTCCGGCTTGACGAGCTGCCTTCTCAACCTCGAACTTGTTCCGATTCACAGGAATACGGTTGCCTTGTTCATCGTATCTTGCCGCTAGGTCGGAGGGAACAAATAATTTCACTTGCGTTTTTGGGATTGCCTCAATGAAGTGGTGCTCAAGAATGACGCCACCATGTCCAACAAGGCAACTAGAGAGATGTATTAATCAGCAAGTTTTCATGGATCCTGAATATCCTCGTTCTATGCTCCCATCCACTGACTGACATGACGATATCAATATCTTTGAGATTATCGACCAATGAAGCATGATCCATCAAGTCAACTTCAGCGACCTCAACTCTGGCGGGTAAAGATGAGGTGTCGGAGCCAGGACGATGGAGGACTCGAAGGGGAGCACCTGAGCTAGCAAGTGCTTTAACGATTTCTGAACTAGCCCATCCCCGGTGGCCATAGACTGCGATACGATTGAAGGTCATAGTTTTTGTAATAAGTTGACTCGTTCTGATTGTAATCAATTCTTCAAGGGCATGTGGGAAACCGGGATATTAAATAACGTCGATGCGCTGAAGCCACTCATGCTAGCTGTTTGCATTAATTACGTCATGGAAGCATCTTTCGGCAAGCAACAAGATTTAATTGGTTGGTATTCTGATAGCTATGGGCGAAGCACAAACATGTCAAACCGTCCAAACTATCCAAACTATCATGATTGGCTAACATGGCCTAACCGAAGCATATCGAACTGGCACCGTTGGAAACCCGATTTAAAGAAGACGGAGGCTTGGTCAGTATATAACTAGTGGTCAAAGCGTGTGACAATTAGTTAGTGAAAGATGGTCAGACGATTGTCTCGGACCAAAAGGACTTCGACGGGTAATCCACGTGCCCTGAGTTGGGATTGCAATTTTGTTTTACTACTAAGGTATTCTTTAAGTGTTAAGACTACACATCCCTTTCACGTGAACAGAGATACTGATTGGTTTTCGATTCTATAATCCAGTTTAGGAAGCGGGCATCCGATCCTGATCCGCGTGTAGATGAGTCTGACGGGTTTAATTCCGACATTTAGCCGAACATTGGAATGGTATTTTGAACTCAAAACGGAATTTGGACCGATAATACTCGGGGTAGAAGCGGGGGCGTCATGGAGAATATTAAGATAAGAGAAATTTGTTGGCCTGAAGTCGACAGTAAGATCGCATGAACTTGTCTATTGAGTTCTGTAAACTAAGAAGCGTAAAGGTTGACTCTGAGCCGGGGAACAGCTTTAATAAAGCATTTTTTCCTTAATTAGTCGACTTTCAAAAGAAGCCTATATAGAGAATTCCCTATGTCGATCCGGTATTCGGATAAACTGGCAGAGAATGTCTGAATAATTCAGCTTGTTCTATAAACAAAAGAAAGTTATCAACACATGCTTAGAGCACCGCTAATACACAATCTATAACTTCTTGCATGTAGTACCCTATATAAAGCTTCCCTGCTGCCTCAATTGATTGACGTCCATTTCCGGAATTCGTATCTTATGCAAATCGTCGCAAGCTGCATAATCTTTGGGTGTTTGTAGTCGCTCTGTCTGCGCTGTTGGGTAGAACCCAGTAGGTAGCTCGTATTCGTAGACCGCAAGGAATTTCCCATCAGACACTGTTGAAGGTTCTTCAATTGAAATAAGCGGATCTTGTTCAACGGCGATGGGCTTAGGTGGAGCCACGCCGAGAGCCTCCAAATCTAAGCCTTTTGGGGCAGCTACCCAAGCGTGAGGCACACCAGGCGCGATAATGACCATCGTTTTGGGTGCAAAGACGTAGTATTGTCCTGCCAGCTCGCCCACTGCAACTCCGCTGGCGATGAAAATTTTTTCGATCACAAATTGCATTTTGGGGCTTTCATCGCCCGTTTGTTCCTCTATGGTGGCTGGAACAGTTGCCATGTGAATATGTCGGGGCATTCGACATGTTGTATTGAATTGGAGACAGCCGGCTGGTCCACGATATACAGGGCAGCAAGGGTCAGTGCCATTCCCACGCTATAAAGCTCCATTGTGCCAGGCAAGTTCGATTCTGGAGGGAATGCCTGCTTGACATTTGAACCTGCGCCATGAATTACGCGAGTTCCACATGGTTGTAGGAAGCCAAGCTCTGATTTACTTGTAGGAGCCATGATGTGTGCACAAGTATATCATTATAATATCAAGGTAATTGCGAAGTAGCGAAATACCAATCCGTTGCTAAAGTCTTAGTTCGGCTATCTAACCGATCCGAGAATGCCGTGGTAATTTATACCCGCTATTTACATAACATCAGTTACATCATATATGCCTGGCGTGGATAATTCAACAGCAAATAGGAAGTATCCTCTAGTAGAGGCCGAGTCCACCGCGGTCGAATATTAAAGTAAGATATACTATAAGTTAAGCGCTAAGAGTCTAATATATTTGGGAAAACTGATTTGGGGATCTTTAGTGCGAATATTACTAGAAATAAGTCGTCGGTATTTTTACTTCAATGGGCTGAAGAACTAAAGGGATATGCTGGTGGAGGCTGTGCAGAGTGGTAATAAGGGCCTCAACCCGTTACTAGAATTATATGTTTACTTTAGCAAGATTCCTCTTGAAAACCAAAATATTCGATTCTTTTCAGCCTTTTATCCTATATTATAGTGATCTTAGCTGTATTTCTTTTATCTCAGTCTTATATCCATGAACCTAGCGGGGGGGGGGGGGGGGGGGGCGAGTAATTACATGTAATGATTAGTATACACAAATTCAGGAAGGCGTGAGTCTTTTCATACTGATCTGAACTATAACCCAAAGATGATTTACGCACAAATTAAATTCCGATTAATGCATATATAAATATATATTGTGTGTTCGGGTCGTCTAGTAATATTTCTTTAGTTCAATTTAGGGTTACCTATACTTTGCTGCGCTTATATGGCATCAGATTGCACAGTATGTCTCAAAACCCCGCATTCCTCATGATATATCGCCCCTTCAATAGGTTGGTTCAAAATTGATTTGCGAAGCCAAGTGATCCAATCGTTACGCAGTGGTGTAGTTAGTATAGTATGGCGTTTCTACACGCGTGAGGAACAGCAGGCTAACAGGCTTGTAAAATGAATTTTTAGTTTTCCGTTTCCTGGTGGATGACTAACATCATGTTTGTATCTCCCAGCTCGAGCATAATATGCCTCCTTTCGACTACTCTGTGCATACTTTCTAGGCAATGTAATCGTTTGAATTGCACTCAAATATCGTTGGCGCAAGAAACTTACTAATCGAAATGTTCAGATGATTGCAGGGGAAACAGGCCTTCTACTGCCTGCCCTTTCAAAGTTATATAATTTAAAAAGGTATCTTGATCATATGTCCGCTAAAATTCGTAAATAGCGAAGGAATGGCACTTCGAAATATAGACTATAAGATCTATGATGTATATCTGAGACTGCGAATGAAATGCATTATTTTTTAAAATTTGCAATAACGCTATTTTGAATACCATTCCTTTAATTCGAAGTGATTCCAAACCGTTCCGATTTAGGATTGCAAATGTCATACAACCGCGGCTATATGAACGGGAACGGGAAAAGTAAGAATGTCTCCGACAACCCACATTACGGAACACAAATAGGGGAAGCAGCGACGTAGCCAGAAGCTTCTTCCGAAAGTTCTTCCGAATGAACTATCGCCCGTTTACGATTAGGTCGTTCTCCAACCTTCCATTCCTACTTTTTATTACTCAAAAGTAAAAGCCCGCGTCGTGATTTGCACCCCACACTTCATTGTTCTTATTGACTTCGGTCTACAACACGGAGGAATATCGGCAGAGGAAGGATATCAATAGCACAAATCTTTTAAAGAATTTACTCGACAGTAAAGTGTTAAATAAGATCAGTATCTCTCGCCCATAATACTATTTTCAGGTTCTCCTTCCACTAAGTAGTTCATTCTATCCTTCATCTGTCTTCACATTACTAAATCAAAGTCACTTTCTTTTCTTTAAAGAGTGACGGTATCATATTCCATCAGATATATTAAATTAGATCCTTATAATTCAAGACCAATATAAATAAATAGTATAGTGGGAAGACCCGATCACTACTGCGGATTACCATACCGTTACAGGTCACATTCCGTCCCATAAGGAAAAGGTCATATTAATACGGGTTTAGCACTAGCTAGAGAAGACACACACTTACACATCTCTCACTTTGACCTTTGTCGAGGGATCCACTACTCTCCGAGGACGACCTTCGGTCGTGGTGGGTTTTCCTGAGTATATCCGATTCGTGCGTCGTCAGAGCGTACAGCCAACGAGCGTTCCCCTCTTAAATAGGTAGGTATAGCTTTATGTTCTAACCCGCAATATGCGGGGACCAGCAATCCGGGGTAAACCTGGTTGTCATCTCCAGCATATAAATGCCGAGACATGCTTCCTTGCCAGCGGGGATCGGTTGAGGTCCCAGAACTGTCTCATTTACCATCTCCTTTCATCGCTCTTAAAGCCTACACGAGTCTTCCACCCTACTGGCTCCACTTCAGGTCCCGTCAGGCGTCATGTCTCACGAAGCCAAGCCGGAAGTCGAGCATGCCGCGCAAATCGAGGTTTCTGCGGATGTTGCAGGCTGGGCTGGGCTGGCCGAGGATGCTCGAAATGCCACCGCAGAAGAGCATAGCATGAAGATTACGAAAGCGATCAAAACGTACCCCAAAGCCTGTATGTGGTCCATGGTTGTATCTCTCGTTGTTATCATGAATGGTTATGACACTGCACTCATGGGCTCTTTTTTCGGGTTCCCTATGTTTCAGAAGCAGTTCGGCATACCCGTTGGCGATGGATCTCACCAACTTCAGGCAAAATGGCAAACCGCTCTCGGGCTCGCCAGTCCCGTGGGGATATTTTCGGCATTTACATCAATGCGATCATTACCGAGCGATGGGGCCACAAGAAAGCTGCCCTGGGAAGTCTCGCATTCCTCACTGGCGTTCTTTTCATCCCCTTTTTCTCAAAATCGTCGAGGTTCTTTTCATCGCTCAGCTGCTATGCGGCATAGCATGGGGTGTTTTCACTACCCTGGCGCCTGCCTATGCCTTAGAGGTTGCACCGCTCGTTCTTCGAGCCCATCTAGAGACATTCGTTGCTCTGTGTTGGGGGATCGGCCAATTCCTTTCATACGCATTGATCTACACTCAGACTCACCGCGCGGACGAATGGAGCTGGCGTATTCCGCTTGCTGTACAGTGGGCTTGGCCAGCCATCATTTTCCCGCTCATCCTGTTTGCTCCAGAGTTCCCTTGGTGGCTGGTCCGCCATGGCCGGCTTATTGAGGCCGAGAACGCAGTCAAAGGACTTTCATCACGATCGAATAACTACGAGACTCAGGCTAAGCAAACCGTTGTCTTAATGATGGAGACCACAAACATCGAGAAAGCTATAACAGAGGGAGTTTCTTTCGCCGACTGCTTTCGTGAGTCGGATTTATGGCGTACCGAGATCAGCTGCCTCACCTGGGCCTCGCAGGTGCTCTGCGGCTTCGCAATTAGCAATTACGCCGCATACTTCTACCAGCAGGCTGGGCTATCAACTTCAAACTCTTACAAGATGACATTCGGTCAAGGCGGCATCCACTTTGCATGCAACCTCCTCTCTTTACTTGTTACCAAAAGATTCGGACGACGCGCTATCGCCCTTACTGGGTACACCTACATGAGCCTTTCCATGCTCCTCCTAGGTTTCCTCGCCCTTGCGCACCAGAACACGGGCCTTAGATACGGTCAGGCAGTCATATTCCTTGTCTGGTCCTTGTCTGTTACTGCACCTATCAACTCACAATCGGGCCCACTGGATTCATCATTGTGGGTGAGATCTCCTCGACTCGGCTGCGGTCCAAGACCATATCCCTTGCGAGAAAAGCGTATAATGTTGCCAATATTCTCAGTTCGACTGTTGCTCCGTACGCCCTCAACCCGACAGAAGGAAATCTAAAGATAAAAACCGGGTTTCTAGCAGCAGGATTCTCTCTTCTCTGTCTGATATGGGGGTACTTCCGTCTTCCAGAAAGTAAAAGTCGGACATACCAGGAGTTGGATATCTTGTTCTCCAAGAACTTGACGGCCCGCGAATTCAAGAATGCGTCTGTCGATGATGCGGATGTTGACCAGATGGCGAAAGTGAATATTTAAACGCGAGATTAGCATTCGTGAATTATGTCTTTACCGTTCTCTTAGTTATTACTATATGATTATATAAGATCGTAAGGAACTAATTGAGCCAATCCTAGAGAAAATCTTTGAGACAAGTCTTGACTCATAATAGGTAATGAACTACGGACTAGGTACTCTTCGCTCCTACTGTCTATGTATTCAAGGATTAAATCAAATCAATATAATGTACTATTGTTCTAGCAATCCTCGTTGCAATAGAAGACTGAGGGATTCCGACTCATATTATCCTCCAGATATAGTCACAAGTGTCCAGTAGCGCCTATAGTCAATTTCTCTTCTGAGGATTCCGTACGAGCGTTTCTCCCAAACTCTATATATTGACCGACCTTAATCACTAATCCCTACTTTAACATTGAGATAAAGATCCGCCTTCTCCAGCTTGACTTCCCGTCAAATATCGCGTCATTCGACTAGAACCTTTATTTATACGCTTATCCAACAATTTCTAATGAAGCCCTCACTATCGCTAGAGCCAAGATTGATCTTGCGGCTTGTAATCAATGATGAGCATCAGTACTTCAGCTCGGAACCCTCCAAAAGGTCACTTTCAGCGATGAGGAATTTTAGACTATCCTTTCGAGTCTGCAGATTGTATTGGATCCCATCAATTCAGGAACCACTCTAGAGCCGCGTACAGCTGTCATTACTAGAACCTTCTTCAAATATGGCCAAAGTTTGGGGTTCCTTACCTCGCGTCTGGGGAGTCAGATGATCTTGTCTTTTAAAAGGCGACCATGTCGCAGGGGGTGGTTTTAAATATCTTACTTCGACGAAGAAGTACCATCATTACTCAATAGAATCTGACCCAAGGAAAAAACAAGAGTCAACCATTTACAACGTTTGATTAATCACTATGTCAGCAGCATCGGATCTCCTATCCCCCGAAATAAATCTGGCTTTGCACTCCTCAGTGACATTATCACAGATGATCCGTGCAGTACCACGAGCGTAGATACTCAGTAGGATCTCATATCTCTTAGTGTCACCTCAGGGCATAAATTAGAGCAACTTCACTGATAAAATTGAAATCTGGCCTGACATGTTCTTCTAACAAGTCCTGCTTCTTCCCCAAAGCCACTATACCCCGCTTCAATCGTGAACTAATCAGCAGACGTACACAGCGTGATAACAGATGCCAATGGGCCCAGCTCTCTTAGCTCGGTCGATTGATATATTCTGTCCCTTTCGGGTGTTCGTTTCGTTCTGATCTTCTTCGGTATCAACAATATCCGCATCACGCCGGCTAACCCCACTAGCCAACACATTTTCCGTTTGTAACTAATTGCAGCATATGAGTAAGAACACTTTGTACTCGGAGAAGAAACTAAAAGAAGAGATGAAAAAAATTCAGGATATGCTTCTATCACCAGATAAAAGCTAAATCTCATTGGGACGACAAAAAGACGTAACACATTATCAAGTGAAAATTAGTGAATTCCTCGATGCAAAAACCAGAGCCTCGGGCGCCATTTTTCTCAATCTTTGCTGCACTATAAGGCAGCTAGTCTATCACATAAACCAGAGGTAGAGTATGTAGGCAGGATAATGAAAGATTAATTGACAAAATTTGGATCTTACCAGTCTACTAATCAACGACTCCATTCGGCAACAACGATACATAGTCTATCGGTGCACGTTCAGGTCCATTCGGCTTTCCGATAATCTTCAGTCGGTCCCCTTTGTTCACCTTTACATCTTTGAAGGTGATACGTGTTGCAGAGTAACCATCAACAAGGTCTGAAAAGTCATGACCAAGTTTCTCCTCCAGATCACCCGCCCAAGAACCAATCAGGCGGTCATTTAAGAAGATCTGATACTGCGAAGTCCCACCAAGATGGTCATAGTAGTTGACCGCCACATCATAGATTCCCGAAACGAAAGGGACAGTGCATTTTGCAGTTCCGAGCTGCACTCCAGGCACAGTGACAATTGCTCGGCTTCCTGATGCGTCCTCAAATGGCGTCACAGACTCCACTTCGTACCCCTCAAGCTCCATGTCTTCCCCCTCAATCCTCCAGGGATGGTTCCCGACACGTCCCCGTTCATCATCAATTCCACACTTCGCGTGATAGAACGTATTCACTGAGTCCCGTCAAACAAGCGCATGACCCGCCTGGTACCGCAAGCGAAACAAAAGATGCTCGAACCACTGATCATCAATCAGCCCACGCAGGGCCTCCCAGTCCTTTAGGAATGTCTGCACAGCTCGCGCGCCGTCATAATGCGCATCGTAGAATTGCTGGATGACCGTCTTCCCAGATTTCAGTACATGCGTGTACGGCACATGATGAAACCAAAGCAACAGCTCGTCAGGTGTAGTATCAATGTCTTCAAAGCGAGCTGCAATCTTAGGGGGTTACTATCCCGCGTTTTCTATACCAGTAGCAACAGTGCGATCCATGCCGAGGGCATGTTCATCTGCGCGACTCCACTGGCCCCATCCGTTGCCGTCGTGGGTGGCGGGCGAGGGCCCGAAGTGACAAGTCTTAATAATATCATAGAGCGTTTTAATTCCCAAGTTACCACTATAGTCTTCGTAATTGCTCTGAGGATTGCATGGAAATTTTTGTAATGGCTGATTCAACAGTACTGTTCAACCCAAAGTTAGACGGCTCCAATCCCTTATGACCTCTACCTCGTCGCTTTGAGGGTTCCATGTATACCGGCCGTACGCGTAGAGGTTGGACATGGCGAGGTGGCTTCCAAGCCAGGTTGGGTCATTGCCGATATTGACAACGGTAGCGTAGGCGGCCCGGGACCAATTAAAGCGCTGGCCAGAGACAATATCGCGGACGAGGGATGGCTTGTCATCAATTTGAAGGTCGAATTCAAAGATTATGCGCCAGAGCGGGGGGAGATAGACAACGTGATCTTGCTGCTAAGTACTCCTGCGTAACCTGCAATTCAAGGATAATAGGTGTTTGGCGCTGATGGGTGAGTAGAGGGGACGGTGGTTCCCTTACCTGGAAGTTGATTTGGCCGTACTTGATTTGAATGAGCACTTTGTCTTCGAACTCAGTATCTTGCCCGTCAAAGAACTCTACTGCTGCATTTGCCCTATCATTCTTCCAGTTTGATTCATCGAGGTAGTGGTTTTATACGAAGGCTCGGTACATGACCATTCCATCGCCGTGTTTCTTCAGCGCTCGAGCAAACAGGTTCACGCCGTCGGCCAGCGTGCGGCCATGTATTGGGGTGTCGAAGTATAATGCAATACCGATTCGCACACCCCACACTCTCATGATGTCGGCAATTCGGCCAAGTCCCTTCATGTTTTTGGGATTGAAAAGCTGTGAATCGGAATTGACATTGTTGACAATAATGCCATTCAGTCGAAATGACGCTAACAGGCGGGCGTACTGGTTAGCGCGGGTCAAGTCGTCGATCACAAATCCGTCCTTGAAGTATATCGATGGCCCTCCGTAGCCCCTTTCGATGGTCCCATCAAGTTTATCCCACTCATTCACCCATCTGATTGGCGCGCTAGGACTAGATGCGTACAATTCCGGCACGCACTCATTTCGAGATAGCAGCATTAGGAGCTCAAACGCACCATATACGGCGCCACGTTCATTTTGACCAAGGATTTTCACGGGAGCTTTGCGCTTGCAGCTAAGAATGAGTCCATCTGCCTTGAGGTTAGGTAAATCATGCACATCGCCTCCCGCCGATGCAAACGCTTTAACTGTCCCTATAATGATTGAAGAAACAGTCTCAGTCGCCAGGAGCCCAGTTCGAAGATTAAGATTCTGACCAAGAATCTTGGACATGCCTAACTGTAGCCCTTTTCCTGCGGTATGCACTGAACTACTCTCGTTGTCTATAAGAGCGATAATACTAGAATACTGGCAGTATTCAGCGGCGACATCAGCGGGGAGAGCGACATACCGCAGCCAGGCCTCAATGCCAGTCTCGCTTGGAGGCATATCGAGAATTGGTCGCAGATATTTTGACGCGGCAGGTACGTGGTAGTGAGAAGACTGCAACCACACTCTAGGAAAATTGAATCGTTAAAAGGCAGCGGCGTTGCGACAGCTTTTTAGAGCTGGTATAACATCTACCCCGCAATCAAAGACCTGACTGCCTGCATCGGGTGTTTAGGCTAATTTTCTGTCAAGTAAATTGAAGGAACACCTTCATTTAACCATCGGTATATGCGATTACCACCTGATCAGGTTATTCGGGGGAATACAGCTGAGTATGCTATAAAATAATTTGAGGCCAATAAAAAATTCCTTCCCCGATGCGTTAGCTTCAAAATGGAATTTAACCGGGTTTAATCAATTAAAAAAGGCTAAAGGGAGATACCGGCAAAAGTGAGGAGTAATTGATATTTCTGCTATAATAAATTCCCAGTCGTTCGGTTTTAGCTCGAAGATAAGGTCAGTGTTAATAGCCCCTGTAGAATTTGGCGTCGACTGTCTCGCTGGGTATGGGCGGCTCGCACTTGGAAGGTAACTAGCTGACTTGCTTGGGGCTTCGTCGGCAAGTCACCAGTCCCCACAACGTCCATGCCGCTAGTACTTTTAATCAAATGTATGGGAGGACTTGATATTTTAGTTCTCATAAATGTCTAGTTGTTCGCTTCTAACTTTCATATGGTGCACATCTGAACAATACAATATCGATATCTGATAAATTAGGTCGATGTATGTTGAATCTGAGACGGCAAAAAATAGTAAGTTTAATTGTTGGTTATTCAATAAAACAGCTCTATGCCAAAAGTGTGAACATATACAAATTTGAAATTTGGGATTTTCTGGGGCCCAGTCAACCGGCTTTCATCCACTCGTTTAGCGAAATGTGAAGGACCCCTTAGTTATACTGCTGTTTAAATAAGTCAATCCACTCAAACTAGGCAGCGGAGTCGATATTCACGTTTAATAGCGATGAAGAGGCTTTAGAACTGGCTAATTACACAGTATTTTGCCTAGCCGGTTATTTTTTCAGTGAGATTATTGCACGCGTGATATCGGTAGCAAGGAAGCTAAGATGTGGCAAGGTTGGCTTAAATATAGGGCTAATAAGTGCCGTTGAGGAGCCTTTTGATGATGTTAGGGAGCAGGCTAGGTAGAGAAAAAATCATATACGGTTTGCATGAGTATAAAAACATCAAATGTGTCATAATTGGGAGTTTGCAAAACTAGCTAAAATGAGCAATATCATTCTGGATTCCTGAACAAATTTGGCGTCTCCGTTAGCTGAACACGCGAAGTAGGTCTTCAAGCTCTATCAATCGATATTTTCGGTCTTGAGTAATCTCCGACGCCTCTCTCTCGATTAGTAAAGCGAAGGCTTTAATGAGTTCGGCGAGAAAAGTTAAAATTCATCTCGGGTACGAAGTTTATTTCACTAAGCAACTCGACCATACCTATTTCCGACGGCATAATGCATTCCCGATGGCTATGAATGCATCACTGTGGAGATTGAGGTTGCCAATGGGCCACATTGACCTTTGAAAGCAACGGAGACATTTGGGCATATAGCCGACGCCTGACGTCATGACCCGGGTGGCCAGATGGTACTTCTGGTGCATAAATGTGAACATGTTCGTCGCACCAGGTCGCAAACTCTCAAATTCTTGCATTACTACAATATGGCTCGATCTGTCTTTCTTATTGGTCCTGGTTTCATTGGAGGGGAAATTTTGGACCTCCTCCTCCAGGAGAATTACAGCGTCACCACGCTGGTTCGTCGACAGTCGGCTGTCGCGGATTTCGACAAACTGGGTGTCAAGACTGTGATCGGCACTCTCGACGACGACACCATCGCAAAGCAGGTCGCTGTTAGTGACATTGTTTTCCACACGGCGACCGCGGACCACCTGCCCTCTGTTCAAGCCGTGCTTGAAGGAATCAAAAAGCGGGAGAACCGAGGCCTAGAAACAATCTACATTCACACCAGTGGTGCCAGCCTACTCGCTGACACCGCAGCTGGTAATTACAAAAGCGATGTCATTTTCGATGATGAAAATCCTGCCAATATTGACGCCCTTCCGAACTCTGCGCCCCACCGCTTGATCGATCTAGCCATAGTGCGCGCGCGAAAAGAATTGGCCAAGCACTCGAAGATGGCCATCATGATTCCTCCAATTATTTATGGTATCAATAGCCGCGAAAAGCGTACATCAATTCAACTGCCTACATTCGTCCGTTACTCTCTTAAACACGGGTACGCGGGTCAGGTCGGCAAGGGACTTTCAGTCTGGAATCAGGTCCACGTAAAGGATCTCGCACGCGGCTACATAACACTTCTTCATTGGATGGAGACCACTTCCGCGAGCGAAGTTGTTCAAAATCCCTATTTCTTTTGTGAAAATGGTCAAGAGCTCTCTTGGGGTGAATGTTCGGCTGAAATCGGCCGCATTCTTAAGGAGGCCGGCCGCCTTGATGATGCGGAGCCTAAGACGATTCCTCCTGAAAACTATAAGGATATTTTCGCCGAATACACTGAAATTGTCGGTGGGTCAAATTCTCGCAACCGTGCAAACCGACTTCGCAAAATGGGTTGGAAGCCATCTGAGAAGAACACGTTCGCCTCGTTGGCTGAAGATGAGATCCCAACGATCATGAAGGAAACCGGTCAATTCAGCGGCTATGCCAAGCCCGTGGCTTCTTAAATATAGTGTTTTCGTCACCTTATTACATAAACGGCGAATCATGGGTGTTTCAAAAGCTACAATTCTTATACCTAAGTTTAGGCTTCTACAAAACCCAATAGACCCCAAACCCAACCCCACCCAACCGCACTTTGGGTTGGGTTTTGGGTCCAACCTTCGACCCCAGCCTGGGTTTTGGGTCTAGCCCTCGGACCCAACCCAATATATGGGGCCCCAATGGGGCCCCAAAAGGTCAAAACATTATAAACATGCCAAGTCTGGGCATGTACATAATTTATGCGTTTTAAAGCTGTAAAATTGCGTATTTCCCTTACAACTTTCGACAGTAACCATACTAATCACGGTAAAAAGATCATATTCATTCGCTTAAAAACTTAATAAAACTAGTAGTGCTCAAATCCATCATCCTCTCTACTTTTCCGCTTTCTCCCTGATACCCGTAGCTGCGTATTCATACCCATTGGTGGTAGGGCATCATCCTCATCCTTATCCTCATCCCTATCCCTATCCCTATCCCTATCCCTATCCCTATCCCTATCCCTATCCCTATCCCTATCCCTATCCTCCTTCTCTTCCTCTTCCTCTTCCTCTTCAGAGTCTTCAGAGTCTTCAGAGTCTTCACCCTCTACTGCTTGCTCCTCAGTATCACTAATAGGATCTATCTCAACTTCATCTAGTCTCTCATCATTTTCTTCCCTTGCAGCTTCAATTTCATCTAATGAGAAGTATTTCTCTACTTCCTTCCTTTGTTGCTCTTCAAGGTCAAACCTTGAAGTGCAAAGAAACATCATCAGCTCTTCAATCTTTTCTGACTTCATACGACCACGGCGATAGTGGCAGATATCCCGGGCAGTATTAAAAAGTCGCTCTACACCGGCACCAGTTGCCGGAATAGATAGAACATCCTGTGCAAGTGCAGCGATTGTTGGGAAACGCCCTTGATTCTCTCTCCAGAATGGAAGAGGCTCAGCATCAATAGGATCTAAGATAGTTAGTAAATAGAAGAGAATAGAATAGATTAGGATAATTCAACGAACCGCCATCAAGGTATTGTGTTACTTCGTCTCTAACTGGCTTTATCTGCGATTTATTACCACTCAGCATCTTATTAAGCCTTGAACTCGGCTTTGGTGTAGAATAAGAGCTAGCTATGCCTGAAACAGTAGAGAGCTGGCGTTGGTAAGGAACAAGAGCTGCTTGGAATGCATTTCTGTATTTTTCCTGCCACTCCTTATCCCAATCATCTGATTTGAAAAATTGGAACCGGTTATCAGGGGCTAGCATGGTACCAATTGCATAGATAGATCCCCGAATATTATCCGTCTGTGAGTAGTACTCATCAAGCTTTAATCGGCCAGCTTGGAGAGACTTAAGCATATGCTTTTTCCATGGAACACGCTTCCGCTGAAGCTGCCGTATTGAATTTTCAAGATGGTCGAATAGCGCGTTATAGACTTTGAAAACCAGGTGTGTTGTGATATCTCGGGTCTTTGAAAGTTCAGTAGTATACTCAAAGAATGGCTGAGTAATAGTGATAAGGTAGTCAATTTGACGCCACTCCTCATCATCTAGTAGCATTTCTTCACAGCTATACTCAGCACAGAAGGGTGGAAAGATAGTACGAAGTCGCTTTGCCCGACGAAGCATCAAAAATGTTGAATTCCATCGAGTCTTGACATCTTGTATTGGGATGACCTTTGGCTCTTTAGTCTGAAGGCTGTTGAATGTATCACGGCGTTGAGGGCTTGCATGGATATATATCGCAAGGTAGCGGACCTTATTTAAGGTCGACGCAATACCACGCTTCTCACGCTTCGCATTAGCCTGGGCTAATTTTGATTGCTTATCTGTCCACTTTGTCTGAGGAGTATCATTCAAAGGGACTGCCCTTAAACGATCGAGAAGCTGGTTAAGACTGAGCTGGATCACATGAGCAAGGCAGGGTGTTCGGATAATGTTGATATTCTCTGGTAAAGCTTGCTGAAGAGCATTAACCATGGTCTTATTATTTGATGCGTTATCGGTTGTTAATCCGAATATCCGGTCTGTGATACCATATTCCAGTAATGTTTCAAGAAGAACAGTACTGAGATTTATACCAGAGTGTGAACCAGAAAGTGGTTTGAAACCAAGAAGCACCTCTCGAAAGATCCATTCTGCATCAATAAAATAGCCAGTTATAGCCATAAATGCCTGTCCAAACGGAGAAGTCCAACAATCAAGTGCAATTGAAATCTTTGTATTTGGTGGTAGGAGTCGAAGGATTGTCTTTTGGCGATCTGTAACCCTATCCTTTAGTCGCCGGCGGACTATATTGGCGGATGGGATTCGTGGAGGTACGGGTGCAGAGCGAGCCTTATGGATAAGGCTAGCGAAGGTTGGGTGCTCGATAAGACTGAAAGGGAGACGGTTAAGGGTGAGAAATTGTAGGATCTCATCATACCAGTCTGATTCTAAGAATGGGATGGTCGTTGGTATTTGTTGCTAGTTAATTAAAGTGTTAGTTTGATCTTTTGTGCACAAAAACTTATCTCTTAAGAACTTACTCCTTTCTTGAGAAACCCTGTGATCTCAGTATCCCGTCTTCCTGCTGCGGCCCTTTGACAATCTGTAGTTTTTAAGTGTTTCGCCATAGTCGATGTGCCCTGGTAGCCCTTATCGCTGCCTGGTCGAACAGAATAAGGGTGTTTTAAGACCCTCCCACAGCGCTTGCACATAACACTTGGTGCCCCATCTGTAATTTGAGCAACTTGGTGGAAGCTGCTCCAAATTTCAGAGTGGCGGCCAGAATCCCAATGAATCTTACTTTTGCTCCCATAATCAGTTTGTAACCACCAATCAACCCACTCAGTATGATTCGACATATCATAAAGGAAGTAGTTTTTTCTCCGATCTGGCCCGACGCAGGTAAAAGAGGGAGGATTTTGAGGAAGAGGAAGATCTGGTGGAAGGAATTCGTGGTGAAATTCAGATATAGCTTGGCTACCAGAAGGTATTGCTGCTTGAATAGATGGTGTAAGGTATGAGAGATTATCTAGATCTCCATTATAGATAGACGATTGAAAGTCAGAATGCTGGCTTTGAGACATGATGGGTTATTAAGGATGACCATAGGTAGTAAAAGGTAAGGGGGAGAAAGACTTACAATATTAGACACTGTATAAGGTAGATAGAAAAGGGAGTTAGAACAAAAGAAATATAGTCTAATAGCTATTGATTGGCTAAGTAATGAGAATTAATATGGGTCTAACCCAACAGAACCCAGAAAACCCCAAGAAAACCCCAAGGAAACCCCAAGGAAACCCAATAAACCCCAGCAAAATCCAATAAACCCCAGGAAAACCCCAAGAAAACCCAATAAACCCCAGGTAAACCCCAGCAAAACCCAATAAACCCTAAGAAAACCCAGGAAAACCCAATTCCCACTCCAATTTCCCCTAAGATCCCTAAAAATATTTCAACTCCATGAAAGAAGAGATCTTTCTGTTCAATTTTCTACCGCAACAAATAATGTCTATCTATTCAAAAAGAAACAAATTGTAACAGAGAAATTTAGCTTTCATTCTATATAGAGATCATCTTGATTAGAGTGAATATTAAAAACTTTTGTTTCATTTTCACTAATGTCTAAATAATATACCGACTACTTCATGTTCAAATATATATTTCTATATGTTCTTCATAACCCTTTCCCTATTTTGTGGAACTACCACCATAATATACTAAAATCCAACGTTTTTATTTTGTAATTAATAGAAAACCAGTCTTTCTATCTTCTACTCTGCCTTTATTACCTAAAATTTCCTTTAATTGAACCTATAACTAGAAAGAATCTTAGAGGGAAACCAGAACACCTGTAAAAAGGGAGTGGTTTTATTGGGGTTGCCTCACAATGCCTGTAGCCTCACCATGTCTGTAGCCTCACGTGATATCTACACCGACATTTCCGAGGGCCTCTTCCTCCTACAACTGCCTCACGAGAGTCATTTGATGGCCTCTGCGGGTAGCTCGTAGCTCGTCATCTCTCAGGCAGTCAAGTGTCAATTTTGTGTTTCACGTCCTTCCCTACGGCAACAGCATCGATAAGCCTTGACTATATCTCTCTCCACCATGACATTCAGCCAGTCCAGCAGTGTCACTCCTGCCCCGCTCGACTCCGCTTGGCCACCGGCCCACATTTGGGAGACTATGGGTGCGGCAGACCGTGCCAGTTGGTTAGGGCAGATACAGAAAGACAGGGCTAGACGCCTTGAATTGGATGTAGCAGAGACCGATCTACGCCGCAGAAGACCTCATGTGGACCTGCAAGATGACGATAATCTCGAAGAAAACCGTGAGCCTCCCCCTGAGGTCAAATCACTCATCGACATATTTCAGGGTGTCTCCGCCGCCCTTCTTATCCGCGTCTTCGAGAGGAAGTTGAAGGCGACTGAACTTATACGCTTCAAAGAGAAGTCAGTCACCGAGCTAGATCAGGAGGATAGAGTCTTCAAAATGACCGAATCGGGAGGCACAGTGGGCTTCAAGAAGGCAGCAGCGTCGCTTAAGGACTGGGGCCCTAACTCTCAGATATGGACGACTTGCTTTCTTGCCTATCTGGCCGTTGTAGGGTACCTCTTCGGCGAGAAACATCCTAAGGCAATTCCCAACCTCCTCATGTTTATGAGGCAGATCCTGGACTTCGCTCAGACTTATCAGTGGTCGGAAGCAGTTCTCCCACTTGCCCTTAATTTCCACCAATACATACTGGATAAAGGAGAGCTATCGACGGACAACTACCTGGTCACAGGCCCATTTCGCGAGAAATACCTCCGCCACAATCTCACCCTACCTGCGAAGTCACCAACAAATCCTCCAGCCCGGCCTCGTCAAGCCAGGAATACCAGGTCTTCGAATAATGAGACAGAGGTTTGCGATAAGTTCAATACGATAGGGTGCTCCTGGGAAGGCTGCAAGAGACGTCATGAGTGCACGGCATGCGGCCTAAGCGAGCATGGTGCCTCCTCCTGCCGCAAGAAGAAGTAGCAAGCGATAGCCCTTGAGAACTGCACTAGTGACACCGGCAACGTTGTTCTTAACCCCTTGTCCCTAAGCCTCACACCGCAGGGGCAACCACCTAGACCAAACACTGCTATTCAATATCCCGTGTTCAACCCAGAGCTCCCAAGATTACAATCCTCTCCGTCACCACTCAATGCGAAAGGCTGGAGCAATCTTCTGCGCTACTATCCAGGCGATCTGGGCTCCACTATCGCTGGGATTCTGACCTACGGTGCCCAGGTTGGCTATAGGGGCAAGAAGCAGTTTCGCTATTCCTCTAACCATCACATACACGAACCCGGCATAATCACGGCCCAACTAGCAGAAGACCTCAACCTCGGCCGTGTTAGACTAGCCTCTAGGCCCTCCTTTGTTTCACCGCTTGGGTTGGTTCCTAAGCACGATGGGGGATGGCGCCGCATCCATGACCTATCTTGGCCGCCTGGACAGGGCCTTAACCAGGGCATACCGGACTCCTGGTCAGCGATCGAATACATGACAATTGATCATATCTACGAGCAGGTCATACAAGCTGGCCGGGGTTGCACAATCATCAAGAGGGATATCAAGGACGCCTTCCGAATAGTCCCCGTTGCCGAGGATAACCAACATCTCCTTGCCTTCCAGTGGAATGACTCGACTTACGTCGAATGCTGTCTCCCCTTTGGCCTCGCAACGGCCCCATTTCTGTTCAATCTCTTCGCCGAGGCATTCCATTGGATACTCCAATGCCACCTACCTGCATTCCATATCAATCATTACCTAGACGACTTCATCGTCATTGCCCGGTCTCCCTCGGTGTCCGAGCCTACGGGTCCCTTCGACGAGGTTTACAACAGGGTCACCGACTACCTACGTATCCCCCGCAATACCAAAAAGGACCAGCAAGAGACCTGCGTTACAGTCCTAGGTATCCAGATCGACTCTATTGCAATGGAAGCTCGTCTGCCACCAGAAAAGTTGTGCCGCGCCACATTGGACGCCGCAGCTTGTCTGACGGCAGTGAGTCTCTCACTCAAGCAAACAGAGCGCCTCGCAGGCTTATTAGCCTTCTGTTCAAGAGTTGTCCGGCTAGGGAGAACAAGGCTACAGTCTCTATACTCCTTCCAAGCCGCTTTCCCACATGGGAGTAGCGCGCGCCGCCGTATCCCCTACGAGGTACGTGACGATTTGAAATGGTGGAGGGACTCCTTGTCTCTCTTCAACGGCGTACTCCTGATTGACCCTTGCCGCCGCACTATCACGCATCTCTACACAGATGCTTCTAGTATAGGCCAGGGGCTCTTCTTCTTCTCATCCAAGTCTACATTAGACTGCTGGCTGGCCCATTGTCACCAGCTTCATCAAAGCAATGCTGCCACATTGGCCCTTGCTCAAGACGCACACGCGCACATCAATACTCAAGAAGTAGACGCCATCCTCCAAGGCTTCCTACTCTTCAGCCACCATTGGCTCCATCATACTCTCGTTATCCACACGGATAGCTCCACAGCGCACATGGGACTCAAGAAAGGCTTCCTTCATGGTCCGCCTAACGCACCTCTAAAGAGCCTACTTATCCTAGCGGCGGCGAGAGACATCCACATCGTGCCACACTGGCTCCCCTCCCGGGAAAATACATTAGCAGATGCGCTCTCACGTAATAATCTTGAAGACATTGCTAACATTTGTCCCCACTGGCAGGACCTCTCGGTCTTGAACCGCCCGCGTGGTTCTCTTCACGAGCTCCTCAGCTCAATGCAGGCCACCTGAAACTGCTCTGGAACGGACTCAGCGCTAACACACGTTCCGTTTACCTCTCCGTTCAGCGTAATTACGAAAAGCACTGCGCGCTACAGAATCTATCCGCGTGGCCAGTTTCAAGGCATTCATTGACCTCATGGCTAAGCGCACGACTTCTTGGTAACGCTAGTCAAAAGGCCGTCAAGCCTGATACCGCACTCGCCGACCTAGCCGCTCTCCGAGCCTACCATATCGACAACTTCCTTGACGATAAACTCTTTGATAACAAGCATTTCCGACGTCTTATAGACGGCGCGAGAAGACTCAATCCCATGACAAAAGTACGGCTCAGAAAACCGATTTCGCGTGACACTATCACGAAACTATCCGCAGGCCTCGCCACACTCCCGTTACGTCCCTTAGAGATGACTGCGAACCTCCTAGACGACCTGAACTTCGCAACCGCGTGTCGGGTAGCATTTGCTGGGTTTCTCCGCCTCGGAGAATTTACCTATAAGACTGAAGACCTCCGCACACGTTCTATCTTCTCCGCCACAAAGTTAACGCGCTCAGACGTCAGACTCTCGCCCTCGTTAGACCACGCGCAACTCACACTCAAGCGCAGTAAGACGGACCGCCGTCACGAAGGGGTGCAAATTATTCTTGCAAAGACGGGAGACGGCGCATGCCCAGTTGACGCCCTTCGGAAACTGCTACTTCTCGACCCCAAAGGGCCCGACGCCCCATTGTTCTCCTTCGGCAGAAGACCATTTAGCCGCAACAACTTCCTCTCGACCTTATCTACTAAGCTAAGAGCACTTGGGATACCGACACACGGATATTCAGGTCACAGCTTTCGGAAGGGTGCGGCTCAGCATGCGCACGATAGTGGGATACTCGACGACCAGATTCAGATGCTAGGGAGATGGACCTCGGAGGCATTCAGGGTCTATTTTACGACGAATGCGTCAGTCCTTTACAAGCTCAACCACCAGTTCCAGACAGGCTCCCCGGCCCCGCTGTCTCTGCTGCTTCCACCACCGTCCCCTCCACCATCCTAGTTTGGCCCGGGTCATTTGGGCCTATCTGACGCCACGGTCTACGACCGCAGCGACAGGTAACCCGTTGCGGCCAAACTAAACTCTTCTTGCTCCTCTTGACTGCGTGAGGTCACCAATAAATTATGCGTTTTGGCGCTGTAACTAGTGCTAAGCTCGTATTAATTTGACCTTTTCCTTACGGGACGGAATGTGGAAAGTTGTTATCTGGCACCTAACATGGGCTAGTGTGCAGGCTGAGAGCATTATTTCGACTATGCTATGTGGTCGAATCCTGTTCATAGTAATGAATCTACGTATCAAGATTTCTGCATATTACAAGTTGAAAATTTAAAGCATCACCCTTTTGAAGTTGCATGATTCAATCTTGGCCTGAGAAATGCGTCACGCCGCTAATCCCATAGGGATTCATGAAGTACTTAGATATTTGGCAAGGCTCCAGTTTAGGCTCTCGGCCGTCGTAGACTAATTCTGTCCTCAGGTCTGATCTGAGGCACTCAGTTGGTATCCGTAGGCACCTTAGTGGCGCTTTCCATCTAGAGGGTCTCTCCGTGCGAAGCTGGGTACCCAAAACTTGACGACGTTACGGGGACGGATGTACAAACCATAAGGGGTTGTGGTCCTCCCGAGCCTTCACACGCTCTCTTTATGCCGTCCTACAAGCTCATTATCCATAATCGTCTGATGAACAGGGACCCTCCCGAGCTCAAGGATTCGCTTGGCTCGATGATAGAAGAGTATCCTGATAACCGCGTTGTTTTTATGAGAGGGGAAAACACGCTTTTTCAATATTCTTACACCTCCCACTTAGGTGAATAGAGGCGACCGAAACAGGATGGCTTAGTGCAGGTTCTACATTCGTGCTTTTCGAACATATATGAAGATCAACGTCAAGGTGGATCAGCTGGAACCCTACTGCCTCCTTTGCAACTCACTAATGTGGAATAGCATGATAGCATATGCTTCACTGGAACTTATCTCTTGCATGCCAGAAGGCTGATTTACCGAGGGGAGCTGCGCAAAATGGAGAGATAGACTTTGGCGCGAAAGAATTTACAAAGGATAATGAGGTAGGCAGAGTGCCTGCTCTAGGTCATTTTCAGGAGGGAACAGCCTCCATAACATAGCGTCTGGAAGCGCAGCTGACGTGAAGTCATGGTCAAATAGTGTGTACAACTCATTGTGAAGGTTGAGATTCCCGCCATCACTGGTTGGGATAACCCTCTGATCGTATGTACTAGACCCTGTGAGCCGCGATCTTGAAGCCGATTCAGAGAGAGCGGCGCCATTAATGTCGATGGAGGATTGTTGCCAGTCTGCGCTATTCGTGTCTATCGGCGGCCCTCCGTCTATGATATGCAAGACTCCTGTAGCTGTAGGCTCGGGCTGGCTGTATGTCTCACAGCTCAACAGTGCTGCATCCATTGTGCGCGCATTAAACTCAGAGGATGAATTTAGAAATGCATTCTCGCTATGAGAAATTGCAGAAGATGGTGGAGTAGTCAAATCCGCAGATGGGATGTAATTACTTGCTGGATTCGTGGGCGATGCTTGACTTTGCATATCCATTGGTAGCGAAAGACTTGTAGAGGGACAGCCAATAGAAACATTGCCAGCATTTATTGCGACCGAAGCCGGCCAGGCATCACCGGAGTCTGATTGTATCCTCTGGGCTGGTGCCAATTCCAGTACATCTATCGTTGCCTGTGCAGGCATTCTGGATCCCCCATCCGCTGGTGGGAGGCCACTAGCTGATGTATTGGCCGCACGAAGAGGGCTAATTTGGCTTCTTTGGCCGTCGTTATCTGGACATGTTAGTTGATGGCCTTTTCTGAATTATGGAAAAGTCTCACCTGGTGGAAAGTCAGGACAACGCCTTTTCGACGGCTTTAACTGTGTCGACGCCGGCCTCTTTTTGGCGGAATGGTAACCAAGGGCTTTGTTGAAGGGCGTCTGATAAGACCTGACAGAAGATACTTCGTAGCCCAGACATTTGCAAATCACTTTCAGACTGGAAATTATCAGTCATAAAAATTGTAACAGAAGTAATTTACCCACGACTTGTTGTTCTTGAAAACCCTTTCTACGATCAAAGGGATTGCAAAGGGTGCCGGCAGGCCTGTGGATCCGGACATAAAGGAGCTATCATGGACATTAGTTCCCACTTTCTCCAATATCTCCTTTTTATCCACAGAACAGTCGCTTAGCCGGGCGTAAAAGCTGACGGGATGCTGGGCTTAGCAGAGTTAGCCTGACAAAACAAGATGATCAGGGCCACCATACCGACACAAAGAATATCCCAGCTTCTAGATTCCCACTTTGTCTTCAAAAAGAGCGATACGAGACCGTTCGCCCATTTTGCGCCGCGAACAAGTCTGCCAAGCTGTTTTGAAGAAGCATCCGATCCGAGGACTTTCCGCATCACCGCCCAGACGCCATCTTTGTCCTCGTTATTTTCCAATGCAACTGCACAAAGGGAAACAAACACCATATTTAGAAAGCATGTGAGCTGTTGATTCACAATACCGTAAGAACCCATAAAGCTGGCGTATTCAGATAAAACAAAAACATTTGTCAAGGTGGATGACATGTCTGCCAACTCCTTCGTTGTTCCCAGTGAGGCAAGGCTCGATGTACTCGAGCCACAATTTTGTACCAGTGCCCTGAGGAAATTTCCTCGCCGAGTTTTATCAATAGCCGACACCCAATTTTCCCAAATTTTCGATTTGGGCAGACCGTCCATGAAGCTGATGAATCTTGATAGTGTCTTCTGTACATCCTTTTTGCTCCGGCTCGGTTTGGATCCGTCGGTTACTTCTGGGTCAGGGGGTCCTTCTGGAATGTATTGGATGATCTCGAAAGCCGCGGCATCGCCACAATCTTTGCGTAGGTGTCGCTGCTGATTAAGATATTCCGGGGCGGGTTGTGTGCTACTGTCATGGGTTTCGGTTTCCCTTGCAATTTTATTTTCACGGGTGTGGCGACAAGGTATTTCAAAGACCTCGTCCTGAATACGGACTCCGTTGCAGTCCGCTGGGCCGATGATATTCCAATGTAGGTAGACTGTTGAGATGACTGGCGAAGAGAGTCTTCAAGGAACAGAATATAAGCAGTGTCGTCACCCTCACATGGAATCTGGCGTGCCATGATTGCTGTGAATAGACAAGAGGAAAAAATCGCGGAGCAAGTGAGACTACATTGTCATCCTGGCCCCCTCCCTCCAGGATAATCTTAAAAGAGGCGCGTCAAGTGAATCAAGTGGTTTGTCCAGACCATGGGTCCGTGCTGGGCGCTTCTGTAAGTCCTATCAAAGGGTGCGTAAGAATCATCACACCGCTATTCGCTTTGCGTGCAAATTTACCTTATAACTCGTCAAACCCCTTGGGAACGGCAAAGTATTTCCGCCAGTTTTTGCCTTACAAAGTCATGCGCCCCCTGTTAAGGAAACGAGGGATCCCATGTTACCTCGCAAAAATAAAATTCATCTGGCTCTGGAATCATCATAGCTTACACCATCGACTTGCGAAGTTATATCTCGGGCTTCTCAACTTTCAAACGAATGGAGACGGCGTGCAATCAACCCGGGGACCGGGGTTGCTCGTTCTGGTCAGATGGCTTATCTTATCCCCAATCTTACAGGGCCAACAACGCTAACCAGATCGAGGGCACCCAACTGAATGCCCCTAATTAGGTTTAGTAACCAAATACCTCACGGCAGTAATCGAACCTGTAGTGAGGTGCCCCTAATCCTGTTAATGTCATTTGTCATTAACAGGGTCCGCAGTACCTAAAAGAATCTACCGTCTCTTGACGGCTGCGGCAGTTCACCGCTGTTTACTGATAAATGTCTGGATGCTTATATTTAGATATTATCGCGGGATGACGTAATTAACGTAACACGTAACGTGAAGTCCGGTTGCGCGGGCGACCCGGTTGAGCGAGCGACCCCACCAAACTTCGAAAAATCATTAATTTTGAACTACCACTAAAACCATCAAATAACTCAAAATTTTGCTAATAAACACGTGAAGGGCATCCAGGATATGTATGACCTTTTATCCCACAGCCAGAACATGTCACATGCCGCCGAACCGAAGGCATAGAAGGTAAAGTAGGCTCAACAACCGCTCTTGTAGATACCTCCGGCAAATATATATCTTTACCATTATCTTCATCCTCATAAACCACATCATCTTTACCACTCTCTAGACCCCCAAAGATACCTTTCTGGGTAGTAAACTTATGTATGGTCTCTCGTTTTTTTGTCTGTTTCTTGTTGGTAGCCTCTAATTGGGTACAGCGATTCTGGAGAAAAATATGGTGGTGGACCACTTTGATAGTCATATCATAGGTCTTCTGAAGCTCTCTTTTTGTAGGTGAAGAGAGGATTGAAGAAGAAGATTTTAGACCTTTTTTGATCCGAGATTGTGATTTTGTGAATTTTGAGAGAGTCCAGAGAGTATTTGGATCACTATCACTGCCGGAAGAGAGTGGTCGCTGTGAGACAATATCGAGAGGAGGAAGGGAATCCAGGCGCACATTTAGCTTTTCTAAGACTTTATTAGCATCAAATGGTGCTAATCCAGTAGCTGAAAAGCTATTTTGTATAGTAGAAGTCTTAAAAGCACCAATTCTCGCATCAGCGATAAGTTCAAGAAAATCTTCCTTATCAATAGAGTTCACTCCATTCCGCATCAAGGTTGAAACCGCTCCTCCATAAAGCCTCTTCAAAACCGAAAAACAGCCCACATCCAAAGGTTGTAAAAGGTGGGAAGCATGAGGAGGCATACAGATTGCGATAATTTGGTTTTCTTCACAAAGTTGGTCAAATTCGGGGGTCAAATGACTCCCATGACCATCGAGGACCAGTAGGCAATATTTCCCCACTCTTGGCCCAATATTTGGGATAAAAAGATGTTTCAACCACCATAAACCAATTGTATTAGTAGTCCAGCCATTTTCACTCATAGTGAGACGTGCTCCTTCTTGATTTAAAAGAAGATAAGGGCGTAGATGCTCTGGAAACTTTTTTCCCTTGAAAATGAAGAGTGGAGGCATAATACTTCCAGAAGCTCGAATACACTCGATTATGGTTACCCACTCGCGATTTCCGGCTTGTAAAAGAGCTCTTTTCCCGTGCAGAAGTGATAATCTTTTGTGTTGCGCCGATACCCATAGCAAAACCACTCTCATCAAAGTTAAAGATATCGTCCGAGACAATACCCCACTTTTCAATTGTTTTTTGCACCAAATCAAACCATGGTTTAATGATTCTAGGGTCTTCTGAAAGGGCTCTCTGATAGTCGTATTTGCGAGAGAATCGAGTAGAGAGATTTGGGCGTCGTTTGATAAATTCAGCAGGCCAATGATTACCCACAGTAGAGGGCGTAGTTTTTCGGGCATAAAGTAGCAGATTAGCCATATCTCGCAACATAGGCAAAGTAAGAGCTGCCCCTCTAGAATCCATATCCAGTAGCCATTTTTCAATCGATCCTTCCTCAATTTCGGTGAAAATAAAGCGATTGTGTCGCTTTTCAGTAGCAGATTCACGCCCATTAATCCGTGCCTTCAAAGTTGAGACAGGGATATCAAAGGATCGTGCAGCAGCCGCAGCAGAGGGATATTTACCATCTTTTATAGCTTTTATAGCTAATAAAAGACGACCCTCCTGCTCTATTAGCTTTTTTTTCTTATCGGAGCGCTCAGGGGGCATTCTTGTTATGGTTGAAGAAGACGTATTAATATGGAAGTGGATTTTTGGTGGGGTCGCTCGCTCAACCGGGTCGCCCGCGCAACCGGACTTCACGTTAACGAAGACTGCGCATCACTTTCTTTCGCCAGCTAGTCGTTTCGCAGATCCAGTGTACCGATAGTGCCAAATGTTCCCACTGAAATGGATATTCAAGATCGAGAATGGATGCCCGCTAGTCCGTAGTAGCAGCTCTGACAACCGCTAGAGTTTCTGATCCACAGCCTAGTCGTTTTTTGTTTGCCGCTCAGATAGATATATGTCCGCCTTTGGTGTATTTGTGGGACACAGCAAGATGTCATATAAAGGACGGCGGGACCAAAGTTTCCCATGTATCAGGCAATTTTCTTTTCTCTTTCAAGTCAAGTATACTTGACTGTACTTTCACTGGCAGACTTGCCTCAAACTTCCACGTTAAGACCTATACGATGATTCACCCCAAGAAAGATGACGAGCCCACGCTGCCTGGAGACCCATCAGCAAAGGCAAAGTATGTTTTCAGACTTGTCAAGGAGGCATTGCTCGAAAATTTCGAATCGGTCTCCCAAACCTTTGAGGATACAGACCTCGAAGACTGTATGTCTTTGGCGAAACAAATCGCGGCCAAGCCCGAACTTCGGCCAAAACTGCTCCTAGCTCTGGAGAGATGTACGCTTTCCGGTTGGGATGACTTCTATATGAGCACTGTGGAAAATTATGACGGGTTAAAAAAAATCACGCCAGAGGTCCTTCTTGCAGATGCGGTATTTTTACCAGCGATTTGAGATCTATGTGGAATGAGTGCTTTGTGTAAGAAGATATTTCTGTGTTAAGCTTGGTCATTGCTAATATGTCACAGGAAAGTCATACGATGAGATTGAGCTAGACTTTGGGATGCTTTGGGGCAAAAAATTTATTCCCGCGCGCAAGCTAAAGTCGTGGATATGGCCAAGTGACATATTGAAGAATTCTCTATCACCAATTTGTATCTAATTTTCTCGTTCGAGTCTTAGAAACAGCGTTTTGAGTCTATGCACTGTTCACTGCCCACAACTAATCATCAAAGGAGAAGCTTTGTCCTTGTTTGGTTGTTCGCATAACCTAGATTTCAGAATTTTCATGTGGAAGAAAACATCGTATCAACAAATTGAGAGTCCTTCATTGTGTTAGAGGCGACATATGGAACTAGCGGTCCTGTCCGTTCTGTATCGGCTTCGCGGGCTATGTACGATTTGTCAATGGGCCTTTCTTGATCATACATTCTCCTCCCTAGTATTTCAATTGGTGAGTCCCGTGATTTCGGGTGCCCAGCGTGGGGCCAAAGCCAACTGCCCAAAGCAGATTTTGTCAGGTACATCCATCACAGCATGCCAAGCATCTGGCCATAATGTGGATCTAAATCACCTCCTCATTTTGATAAGGATTCAGCACATTCTAAGAAAACATGAAATGGTAGGGACGGTTATGCTAACAGTAGCGCGGAAACCAGATTACTGCAGTTGCGTACGGGGTAGGTCCAAGTCTAATTTAGAAACTCGAGTACTAGTTTAGCGGACTAGACACAATGTTATCCTCATAAACATATCAGCCTCCGCCTCGCCCTCTCTAGCACTGCCTCGCAAAATCTTTACAGAGTTATATGAATCTTGATCTTTCGATGAGATGAATTGCCTCTTTGATTGCCTCTCTGCTAGCCTTCGAGCATTGCGACATGCACGCTGGTTTTCTTCGTCGTCTACCAACCAAAAGGCTTTTTTTATGGAGAAATCCTTGCGTTACCCGGAAAACGATCGTTTAGATTCCCTGAAACCTGAACCTCAATCTTATCACCAAGTCCTTTTCACCTCACATAACCGCACCATACCCCTTCGTTCAGACTTCCATGAGAAAAGGGGCACCAAAGACGGAATTGAAGCTCCCCCAAAGGTCCTTTTCGAAGAATGCATTGGTAAGTCCATTGAGATCGGCTCGTGGACAGAAATTAACAGTCTAGACAATTCTATCTCTAGTCAAGCCAATTATGACCCACGGGTTGCTAAATCGGGTATCATCTTTTATTACAATTATAATAAGATTCCTCCATATCCAGATTTGAAGTGACGATTTTGACTATAGAGAGGGTACATATCAGGCTATTTTCATATTCCAATGCTTATATATCTAGAATTCAATTCTATATACCGAGAAACACATCCACTCAAATTTATGAACTAGGTATACCGAAGAGCATTAGGCTTTTCTGGGCAATCTAGAAAGAAAATACAACTTCCCAGTCTAGACCTCCCTAGATTTCCTTACAAGCCTCTCCTCTTCGTCGAATTTCTCCCATGAATTATAACCGGGGAAGATCCGCCTTAGGTCCTTTGCTTGAAGTCTAATTCCTAGCGCATCCCCGAGTCTACCTTTTGTTGATTACTGC